ATTTTAACAGAACTACTGTACAAAAAGAATTAAATCAAGATCAACGTCTTTTACAGTTACGTATTTTTTTTATATGTATGTACAAAGTAAATAACAAATACGCTTACGATAGATGTAATTTCATCGCCACAAAGCTGTGAGTGGTCATAAATTACGCACCTTATCGGCTGACACCGAAGCTAACAAGTCTATTTACTGCTCACATAAAACACGCATCCGTCTTAAAATAAAGTGGCCCATCAGTGACACATGTTTAGGGAAATCGTCCGTCAACCGAATTGTCTATCGATGCTGTTTCTCGGATTCATTTTGAGACGGCACGTGCAGTGTGTACCACTCCAGAACTCTTCATGTGGACGGCACAGCTCTAATTTCGTACGGTATAAAGGTGTTTTTGCAATGGCTGGTGTGTAAGGATAAATTTAACTTGAGCTGTCAGCTGTCAGTCACGCTGACAGGCGTCGCGGGCTCACTTTTTCGCATGACCGCTCACGTTCAGGTAACCGAGGGAGGGATATCGTTTTATAAATAATAGATTTCCCTCCGATACAAATATTTATCCAGTTAAAACCATGCATTTGTAGTGTACCGCGTTCGCATCAATTTAATTCCTTTTCCTGTGAGTGGGCCGACAATAAAGTGTAAATTGTTTTTTCGACTTTTAGTGTAAATTAAAAATAAAAAGCTTTTCGGTCGGTTGATTTGATTACTGTCGGTAAAATGTTGCCGAAACGTTATTTTTTTTAATCTCCTTTAAAAATAAAATATCAAATATTTTTATGAGGCGTTTATTTTTATAGTGTTTTAACAAGCAGCATAACTATTAAGTCCTAATAGTAAAGACCATAGCAACATGTTCTATTTAACAAGTATTTTGTTATCCAAAGCCTTGACTTGAACTGAACGAAATGTTTGAGACAATAGAATACTAAATAAAAATTCGCACTACTATAAAATCACAGACTTCCATGATTAACGGGCTAAAATAAAAATAAATCAAATAAAAAAATAAAAATGTCGTCCAATGAAAAGTTCAATGCTTTAAAAACATAGCTTCAGAATCAATTTACTTCTCATGAAATGTTTACTCCGATAAAATCTAACAATAAAAATCTGTATCTTGTATCAGTAGTACAAAAAAAAGTCATACTAATAGCGTACGTTGAACTACAAATAATTGACTCTAAATATAAGCCTGATGGAACGCAATGTAAATAATCGTAAAAAGAAACATCCATTAGGCGTGGTGAACGCGAGGGCGCGTCGAATCCGTCAATAGTTTCTCTGAGTTCATTCGACGCCGGATAAACAAGTAATGGAATATTCAAAGCGGGATAATCTAAATTTCATAACGTCTAATCCGGCACGCACACCGGCTGTACTGATTGCAGGTATGTTACCGTCATTTTGTGGTCCCCGACAGACAGCTATGGCATAAACTGACTGAAACTTTGTCAAGGAGTGTGATTCTACATCAACTATTGATGGTTAGTTTTGTTTAAACGAACAGTCGTTGTTTAATGTGTCAAGTTATCGATGACCCATTCATGAGCGGTTCCTAATTTTAACTTTTAATTTAACTTTTAAATTAACTTTTAATCATTCGTTAGTGCTTATGGTTCGATAAATTGATAAAATGAAGTTCTGACCTATGTAACTTGAGTGTTACTCCATTAAAACTTAAGTTATCTCAATACTAAAGGATCACTAGGTAATGACGAAATAAATGGATACTTCAGGAATTAGTTCATTTTACCGTTAATTTTAAGGTTGGATTATAAAATGACGATGTTTACAATGTAAAGGTGACGTCTACGAAACCAGTTAAAATGTTGATAACATCCGCAGCAAAAGGAACGAGTGTGGCTATAGATTCTTGTTCTTATTGGTGTTGGTTCACTTGACGCTTTATTCTTTTTGGCTCGCCGTCCGCTAGCGCTTCGGTTTGTCTTAGCGCATTCATTTTTATTACAGCTTATTTATTGCTCGATGCTTTTGTTATTCCTTCTTTTGTTTTAATTTAAATTGCCAGCATTGCTTTTGAATACATTTGGTGAACATTGTTTAATTTACCTCTTTCTCTCTTATATTCATAAATATAATTACGAGTTCTGTTTTAACAATGCGGTCATTTATATAATCCTTAAATTTGAAGTCTGAATCGAAATTTTCTTTACTTTAATAAATTACAATTTGTAATTGAATGTCAATTATCAATTATGTCATTATTATGTTAATGTTTTCTATATCATTTTGTAAACTACTGTTGCTAAAATCTGGTTATTAGTAGGACAGGTAGTGAAATACTTTCTAGCATTTTGTTATATAAACACTGCGTACTAATAAATTTATTTCTGAGGTATTTTGGCAATAGCGTAGCTGCATGCAGCACATTCTGTTATCTTTGAATAATAGTCATTTATGTAAATTTAGTGGTCATAATAAGTCTACTTAGGAATATAGATAAGATATAGAATAAAGAGAATAAATATAATAAAGAGACGAACATTGATAAAGAAGAACGATTATTAGGAGCTTAGGAGTCAAAATTTAATTTAATAATACGGACAATACAGACCTTTACCTAACTTTGGAATAACAAACTTGTGTGTAAATTTCTACAGTACAAAAATGTTTAATTCCGGAATCACAAGCAATAACGATCTCGTAAGGTATTTCAAATATCTGTGTTGTCGCTCTAGGACAAGACGCCGTTTATCAATCGGGTATCGCATCGGATTCACAATTCCGGTATGTATTTCCATTGTTTGCGGAGTCCGGCCAACCTGCCGCTGCGGACAAACGAAGCGTATATCAAATTCGGCTCATCTGAATAGAGATGAGAGCGTGTAAACTAAGCTCGAGTTTTCAACTGCTAAACACTGCGTTTATAGGCGAGGTGTTCATACAATCTGGTAAGGCTTTTCGTCTGTGCTAATAGTTTATAGCCTTAAAGTAATACGTAGATTAGTCTAACCGTAAAAATGGATTCGAGTAGATGTTATTAGGTACATTTGGAGTAGTTATAAATACGAGTTAAAACCTTTGACATGGAAAATCTCCTATCTAGACTATTCATATCAACTATAATAGGTGTTTCCTGGAAGTGGCATCATAGTTGCATATCCTGTGTATTGTTATCTTGCTATTAGGTATGACATATATTGATTTATTATTTTGCTATCATGACGAATGTGGTCTGTCAAACATAAGGAGTGATTCTTTTTTATAAGATATGGTTGCAAACGAGCTAGCGGTCACCTAAATCCACCGAAATCGGGGAGCGACCGCTGCCTATAGACATTCGCAATTGCAGATGTGTTGACTACCCTAAATTGACAGAAGATGCCCATAAACAGGATATTTCCCTTTCCATTATTTCCTCTTAAGAAAAGGGTGGTAAGGAAAAGGAACTAAAATTAGGCCTGTGGCACCATACTCATCAGACGAAACGGGGAAATGCTCCCACTTCACGCCTGTCTTCTGTGTGCCCTTGGTATTGCAACGGGCGAGCCGGTGTATTCGTGCTAAGATTTTAAAGCGTGCTCTACCACTGTCAAAATACGGGTTGATGGCAAAATTTTACTACAAATCTCACTTTTTACTGATATTATAAATGCGAAAGTTTAGATAGATTCTTCTTAGTTTCCAGCCTAAACTGCTGAATGGTTTCCGATGAAATTTGGCGTAGAAGTAAAGGATAGTCTGGAAGAACACAAAGGCTACTTTCTTTTTAATCCCACGCGGACGAAAGCTAGTAGAAAATAGATTTTAGTCAAACAGATTGAAATGAGAAAAGCATCGTGCATTGTAAATAGGAATATGCGATGTTATATTCAATGTCCACTCCGCTTGGAGTATTATGGTCTGCTTACCGAGAGCACTGCGAGAATATATTGTTTTGTATGAAAATATATGAATATACATATGTTTGTAGTACTATACTAAATTTAATTAAATAAGAATCGAGTGATAACGTTTTTTTTAAGTTGGTATGACAATCCTGCAGCTGCAATTTTGATTTGTTAGACAGTTGTAATAAACTTAGTAATTTGCAATAAACTATATTGTATAGAGAGGATATTTTCATTGTGACAAAACTGTATGCAGCATTCTATTCTAACTTGGACAATTAAATTGAGAAGGAACAAAGTATTCGATACGAGTTCAAGTGATTCAATGACGTAACGAGAATGGATACAAAGTTGTTTCATCGTAACGCAATTTAAGGAACGTCAATTTGATTCCCCTTGACAAATATTAAACATTACAGAGGTTCTTTTTTCTCAAAGGGCCATCAAACGATTACTGAAGTAGAACACGAATCCGCTTATTGAGTTTATTAAAGCGACCGCGGAAGGAATCAACCAGAAAAGAACGGAAATACTCTAGGAATTCTTTTGTCTTAAAAAACAATGGATCGCCATTACATTTAATAAATGCTACGTGTGAGGATGTTTTTTATTTGATGATCTCTTGAATGCTCATATCTAGTCAAATAAACCAAAATAAAAGATGCTAACGATAATTAGCAGTGCCAGAAATGAATGGTTCCAACCAAAAGACCACGACGACTAAAATTGACCTTGAGTTAGAGAGGTACCAATTTCTCCAAATTTATTCAGCTGAGTCGTAATTTTATCTCTTGTTTTCATAGCTAATTAAAGCATTAGAAACTGTAGATTTCTTTGACAATGTTAATATTTGAAACGACATACATATGTTAATACCTGGAAACCCATGCTGTTTAGCTTCAACACTGAAATATGTAGTAAACTTTAGTCGTTTATTTTTAAAACTTAGGCCATGCATAATTTGGAAAATTCGTGATAATTAAAAAAAATAAAACAAAAACTCAAATATTTTTTAATCTGTATACTGGTGGATACAGATAAACGTTTAATAAATAAACAATACATGCATTTAAGTAATTTTAGAAATATTTTTTTCATTATTTAGTTTTGTAATAAAAGGTACGTGCAGTGTGTACGAGTACATACCTTAATCACTACAATAAAAGTAAGCACTAAACACCGTAACTCTTTCGGTTAGTATAAAACCGTACGTGAATTTATAGTGTCAGTTCAGTCCGGAATCCGAATGCTATAAACATTAAAATTTGCAACACAAATCGCACTGCAGTATCGGGTGCAGAGGTTTTTGTGCGGGTTAAAAGAAACCAACTGATTAGCATACACCACGGGTCTAGAACTCACGTCCGTCCAATATTCATTACATATTTATATCTACACTAAGTTTGACAACACATTACCGATTAAAGCGCACAGTTACGGCCGATTTATAGCCATAGAAAATGTTGTTTCATATCGTCATTCAAGATTCTCCGACGCTAGAGCAAAGCTTCTCTTTACCATCAGAAACAACAGGTCAAATCACTTATTTATAACAAAAACTCACTATTTGGAACATTGTAGCACATCTTTAATACATTGTTATTGAATGTCATTTTTTTTTAGTTTATTTTGTTGTATTTTTGTAGTAGTGCGAGTGACCGCGACGAAGCGCACGTGCGCAATGCAGGCGCGCATTCGGCCGACTGGAGAGAAGAGAAATATTACCCCGGGCGAGGGGTTTTAGCCCGGCCGGCGCGCGGCGTGAATGCGTTCCGTTTCAACATTTTGCTATTGATTGTAGCTTTTTTGTTTAGCCAAAATATTAATCCCTTAGCAACTTTATGATAAGTTTTGTATCTTCTTATGTATAGTATTGCATACGACTAATAATGTCTTCCCTAAGAACTCTATAAAAATATTTCCCGCTCTTTTGTGCTGCAGCATTTGACGTGACAGACTACAGTGGTCTTGCAATATAATTATTATATAACATTATTATAATATGAAAAAAAAAACGACCTTATTGTTATGAAACAGACGGTTTTAGAAATTGAAATGAATTTTGAATTTTCAGTGCTTGAACAAGGGAACCAGTGGCGCCATCTGTTTTATGCTGTCACATTTAATAAAAGGAAGGAGCGACATGAGATTCACATCCCCATTGCAAGAATGTATTAACCAACATAACTAGAGCTCTGTTCTTCTGTCTTTTTGTTTGTAATGATGTTGACGTTACGTGTCAGTAATCATTGGTTTTCTAAATAAATTGGGGCTGCAATTTACGTTCAAACAAGAAAGGGAAGAATGTGTACAGACGTCAGTAGTATTGGCGTACAAATGAGCAGTTTTAAAGGGTTGTGAGTTAATCTTTAAAACATAGCTACGCTTATTCTGATTTCTTTGATTTAATTATTGTAATAATCACGTCGCTCTCTCGTGTTGGATGCCAAGACGCACTTTGGGTTGCTGCGACAGCGCAGTAAGTAATAATTACCTGCAATAACAATAAATAGAAGTCTTTATTATTAAGTACCATTGAGCCTCTCGTCTGACATAAGAGGACATGCCTATTAGGATTTGATTTCGACTGTTTTATAAGTTTTATGTTAACATTAACAGTAAGTATTAAGTTCATAAGGGTTTTATATTTATGAGATAGGAGAGGAAGCATCACTACAAAGAATATATAACTATGCTTTTTCAAAGCATATTAATAATGAAGTAACGTAAATTGTCTGTAACGGAAAACCGATTTAAAAATTATTCGCGGCATATTGCAAAGGCAATGCCAAATTTAAAAATAATAGTCGATTAGCGACATCTTTTGTAAAACTTTATCAATTCTTAAAGTCTGATTAATAGTCTGATTTCTTGTCAATAACGTTTCATAGATGGCGCTTGTTTAAATATTTTAAAAAGTTACGATTTGGAGCAGTGGTGGTTACGGGACAGTAGAATAAAACACAAAAGTTATGAGTACAATTTATTTTATACGTATAAAAAGATTTAATATGTTTATTTAAAAAATATATTTCTTGGCTTTAATTCTTAGAAATAAAGGTATTCATACAAAGAATTATTTATACAAAATATACAATTCTTATTCAAACTGACTGGTACATCTGGCTCCGTAATACTTACTAGAGTTTATTTATTTTTATCTGTTTTTAAAAGATAACAATGTGATATGTTTTTGCATTGCAAATTCACGGTTGTACAATATAGTTTGAGTTTACAAATTAGGATCCTTGTACCCTAAGCCATTTTAATGATTTTTTATTCAAATATTTTGGACACTAGAGAATTTTAAAAGAACCAGTTCTTTCGCTATACCACAAGGGGATATACAGTATTAGATTAAAATTAGTACATAGTTGTAAATGTCTCCGGATTTTTAGTAAAATAGCACCAAAATATACCTAAATATAACGATAAAAACATTAAAAAAAAAGGATTTAAATGTATTTGTGGTAAAAGTAAGATAAAATTTGATGCCAGTTTTAGTATATACATACTTTTTTTAACATTATCCACGGTTATTTGATTTAGGTTATCACCTTTGAAGGTTACAAAAATGCCCTACATTTTATTACAATATTTTCAATACTTAAAAACGTTACATACAAGTAATCTAATTTAGTCTATATAAAGCCTTATGGACGGAGATTTAGACAAAGAAAGTACAAGTTGAGGTAGTTAATATGTAAAAAATCTATACTTATAAAATGGAAAAATTAATAAATCAAGATAAAGCTCAAAAATACCCTAAGAAAACCGGGCAGAATACTCATATAAAAATATCTTAAAATATCGTTTGTTATACAATATGAAGATATTAAAAAGATAAAAAAAAACTAAGTTTTTGATTTAAAAATATAGATAACTTTTTTACAAAAGTAATCTAAGTCTTAATTTGTTATATAAAATGTTATTAACTTATCATAACTATGTACATGTTATCATTTATTATAAATCGTTATTTGTACAATGAGAGAAAACTTTGATCTGTGTAATAGACTCGCGTTAAAATTTAACAACAGGTAAGTTATCCTCAAACTATATCTTCAAAGTCAATTTGGAATTTATGTACAGTGCTATTCAAACTTTATGACAGCTCAGAACATCGCACGCTGTGTAAAACACAAATTTAAGTGAAACAGGAGAGGCGTAGTACGTAGCGCGCAGATGACCTAGATTCACTTAATCCCGCTACCAACGTTTAGGCCTGACAGTTTAGACGTAACATTCGAACTGTGCAGTTGGAACTGTGTGCGTAGGCAACAATTTAAATGGCAGTTGAATTGTTAAGTAAAATTAAGACTACACACACAGTTTTAACTGAACAGTTCGAGTTTTCGGTTTAAATTGAACGTATGTGACTTAAGATTATCGGGGATAATATCTGCGCGCTTTCCTGTACGTAGTTTACAAACGAGCGGCCACAAAGTTTGAATATCATAATACATTTAGTTTGAGATGGTATCATATGTGCCGTGCAGGCTGCAGCCGCCGCGCTGGCAATTAATAATTAGAATAACATCATTGAAGCGCTTTCTTCTCTGTAATAACTATAATTACTAACTAAAATGAAAGCGCTTCATGTTTGTATCTAATTGCAATTTTAATGAGTTGTTTTAATACTGAAAATACAACCAATGAAAAGGGAATTGTTACATCTTGTTAAACCTTTCGTCAAATAGATCGATTATTTAAGCAGAGTGTCGATTTATTGAACATTTGGAAATTAGCTTTCGTCTGTTTGGTACAAAAGAAACATTAAAAATTAACAGCCTCTAGCAACTGGCTTAATATTAATAATTAAGATATACAAAATTAATTACACTTATTACATTGTGACAATTATTGTGACTTAATCGTAATTTCTACAAGAAAACAAATGAACTACTGCACTTTTTCTTTCTCTGTACTACTGTTTAGAATATGGCCGTTAACGCTGCTTGTTCCATTCGTTTGATAAAGTGATACATCATGTGATTCTTGTAAACTAGCCTTTGTTAGACCATTAGAGAGTTTACCGTTACTGTAACCATTTCCTATGTGTCCATTCACTCCATTACAGATATGACCATTTACTTTGACATGTCCGTTATGTTCACTTGTTTTGATATCCTCACTATTTCCTTCACCCTTATTGTTGTTGTTCACTGCTATTGGCTTCGCCTTGTCCTTCTTGTAGGCATGCATGTAGAAGTTCGTGAACAATACAATAAAGATTGTTGAATGTAAGATGAGACCGGAGGCGATGAGCCTGGAAATAAACAAAAAAAAAAATTACCAAACTATTTTGTGTTCTAACGTAGATACGTATTCTATGAACATTTCTTCAAATTACTAGTTGTTTTGTTATGCTATGTGGAAAAAATTGTAAAGTCAGTTATGAATGTGGAAGGGTATACAGGTAGAGGTAGACCTAGAACGAGGAGAATGGATTGAGTAAAAGGTGAAATGACCAAGAAGGGAATGATGACTGAGGTGATAGATGATAGAGTTATATGGAGGACAAAAAACTTGTGCCTACGCCATATGGGAGTAGGATATTGTAGGGGAGATGATGTGAAAAAAAATGTAGCATGCAAATTGTTAATAATAAAATACTTACTTGGGATATCCACAATCATATAGCAATGCGCTTATTGAATGGAACAGCACCATGAAAAATTGCACCTGAAACAATCACACGTGCGATTACAATAACAAAAACAATGTGGTAACTCACTATTCGAAAATAAATTGTAAAATTGTAATTAAGTCTCTAAGAGCGGGCGCACGGCATTGAATACACTATCGGAAACTGTTGTGCGATTGTCGATTGTTTTGCAGCTAATTCAACTGTTTATAGTGTAAACTTTATATAACCCCACAATCAAAGCTTAACTAAATAGTAGTGCGATAGTCAAAGGTCTGCACGCTCTTTAGACATTGTATTAATTATTCTTTATACAAAAAGGTTGTAATAAATGTCTACAAAATAAAAGTTTCACTAAGAAATAATTGTTAAAACACTCGTTTTCTTAAATAAGTATAAGTGTGAAATATGCAATTAATGTCAGAAATCAACGATTTTAATGTCAACGGAGTAATACTTGCAAGTAATTCAGAGGAATCCGGTCAACATACTTCTTATTAAGTGATACCTGTTTTGACTTATTTGTTAATTTAGTCAGCGCGGTTAGACATTTCAACTGGATTGCAAAAGATTCGCCCACATGTCACTTAAGAAAAAACTAAGCAACTAAGTCAATTTTACTTTTAATCAAACAGTTCGTAGAAATAATTGTTCAAAGAACACGAATCGAAAGAATTTATGGATATAGAAAACTCTAGAATTCGATCTTCTCAAGAATTGAGAATCGAGTTGAAAGACTTTTTGACACATATAGCATACTAGCTTTAGCCCGTAACTCCGTCCGCGTGAAATTCAAAAAACAAAAATAACTAACCTATTTGTTCTATCAAACTATCCTCTACATCTATGCCAAATTTCACCGGGATCCGTTCAGCAGTCTAGGCTACAAATTCTAATAAACACTCGTCCATCCGTTTAAACTTTCGCATTTGTTATTTCTAAGTAAGATTCGCACAAACGTGCAAATTACCGTTTCTATATTTATTTGTATGCACGAATTATTTATATTATTGCTTTTGTTACTTATTAATTTAATATTTTAACACTGCCCTTCTAATGTAAAAGAATAATATGTAAACAATATTTATTGGTACTTTCTAATGTGCACTTTCTTTTATTTTGTCAAGCCGTATTAGATATTTACTTTCTCTGCAATTAAATGTAATGACAATCCATATTCCACGTATGTATTTTATCTTAAAACCCACATCTATAGTCTTGATTAGGGTTTGAGACATCAAAGAATATAAATACAGAATTAATTTCGTTATTACGATATAAAATATGTTCAAATCCGAATTTTTATTTATCACCTAGACATTCATTGTTAATGGGCATCCTCGATGATCTGGACTAGGTCTTATACGTAATATTTTCTATTTCTATTTTTGAAGTCTAGGGGTATGTAACTGCACCCCAAACATACTCTGGCTACAATCTAGGTTGCTTGGTTTGCCTAATTTATAGTTTATACCTTTGAGTATTGAGTTAAAATCCTTAGGAAATATACACTGGGAATTAAAGCAAATTTAAAATGAAGCGTGTCCTGTCTGTATTGAGTTTTCATGTGCAATGTTGTTTTCCTCCGTTTCCGAGCGTTAGCGGAATGTAGCTCGTATTGCAGAGAAAGGATACCGCGTTCCGGCTCCGTGTTGTAACGTTCATTTAACGCTGATTGTAACTACTTGCGCTCTCTTAACGGTGTGCTTCTATCTTTGTAACTTCAATGTCGTTTTGTAATATGTTTCAAGTAAGTTATGATTTTATACAATGTGTTAATTGTTGAATTTTTGTTATAAAAGTGTGCGTAATAATCGAATCCAATAGAAATTCAAGTCACAGACTAAATAAAAAACATCATATTTTTGCCACTAATTTAAAGACTAAAACGTCGTAAAATGAATCCATAGGCAATATATTATGTTGTTAAACATAATTTCTGATTTATATTAGAATGAGGTTTTAAAATCTTAAAGTTAAAAAGAAATTTAAAATTTTTAACGTCTACGGGACCTTAGCGTCGATTTTTTACACTAAATTAGGGTTATATTAATTGAATATCAATAATGTAATTAAATTGAATGTTATCTGTTTGTCTGCTTATAGTCAATTTACTCAATTATTGAAAGGAAATAAGCGGTCGGCTGTGCAAAATATCCGAGAACTTTGCGCAAGCGCGGCTCCAGTCACCGTTAGGTGCGGCCGCGATCCTTACAAGTTTGCGAGATTTAAACCTTCATAATTGGACTCATTCTTAACAACAACAAATTGAAAATAATTTTAGTACACCAAGAGTGACTACTGTGACAAGGCGAGTGTATACTTCATGTAAGTTATTGAAACCAAACTTTACTAGTATATTTTTGTTAATTTACTAATATTTCCTTTAACCATTTCAACTAAGCACTAAGCTTGTGTTAGGATATGGTTCACAATAGTCGAATGGCGGGATTCGAACCCTCGACCGCAAGATCGGTAGTCCGTACCCCAAACCATTTATTGGCGCTTTACAAACTTCTGAGTGTTACTATGCCACGGTTATTTGCTCCGGTAAAGTAAAAGGTACTCACAAGCTGCAGGGTGGTGAGATGTTTCTTCCACCAGAGGTATTTATGGTACTGCGGGCCCAAGGCCGCTGTCATATAGTAGCTGTACATGATCACATGCACCAAGTTGTTCACCACGTTCGAGAATGTTCCGTGACCACCTAGAATAAGAAATCAGAGTGGTTTTATCTAGTTTTGTAAATAAAAGAAGAAAAATGTCAAGTGTTACAAATAAACAAGATAAGCTATGGAAAACTAGTGTTTTATTACAAAACTTATTATGAATTTCTGAAAGTTCTGAAGAATGCCCTATCTGGAGTCAGGAGTCCGAACACGGGCAACTGAAATTCCGTTAAAATAATTAAACAAAAGGGTAAGTAGAGAATATGGTTTTCCATAAAACTCAAAGTTAATGCTGTTGTAAATTGCATGTTCATTTGTCATTTGTAAAGGTAAAATCGTGTTTTAAAATTAACTTGTAATTTGTTAAGGTCATTAATTGAGTAAGTAAACTTTCACCTTTTTTTTAAGAAAAGGGAAAATTTAAGACAGTGCTAAAGGTCGTCACAAAGTTACGACATAATTGTCTTAAGATTATCTGACTGATGTAAGTCTGAATGAAATTTTATTACTGTGATAAACGGTATCGAAGTATTATTCGAAACTGACACATCAACACTGAAAATCAATAACTTTTTAGCCTTTACAATGTTAACAGAATATAATAAATTTAATTTCAATTGTAAAGATTAGTTTATTAATTTTGGTAGCAACTTATGGTCTCATTCCCACATTAGGATTTTTATCCGAAATATTTACCCCCTAAGTTTAATGGCGTTAAAATATATAGCCTAAAGCGTGACGCAATTTTAGGGCTTTTTATTAAAAAAAAGTATTATTCAAAAATATGCTGTAATTGCTGTTTTATAATAGTATAGATTATAATAGAATCCTACCAGCGATAAATTTAACGAGTAACCAAGCTTCGAAGGGAGTGAGCGCGTGGTGGTAGAGATGCAGCCAGGTGATTTGACTCTTCTTCTTCCGTAGCACAAAGAATATCGTGTCAGCAAACTCCGACAGCTTGGAGAAATAATAGACCCAGCAGAGGTGAAGCATCTGAAAGAAAAACATATTTTAACACTAGAAATAACTTAGTAGCGGACCTTTGACTTAACTGTCGCATAACTGTTTAGTCTCGCTTTGATTCCTATGTGCGTATAAGGAGTACTCGATATTTAGTTGTACAACTAAATTGTTGAATTGGTTACGAAACAATCGACAATCGACACATGCATGGTATTTATCACATTTTAAAACAACCCTAGTTGCTTACGACGAGTATCTATGGCCATGGCCTTGTCTATTGAAATTACAAACACGACCAATTAAATTTGATCTCAGTGTTAATTTCACTTTCGATGGTGCACCGGTGGCTTTGTGGCTGGTGCCGTCATCACACCGCAGTCGCACACCGAGTGACCGCTTTCCCCGCGTTACGTCTTTACTGAACACAAGTTCATTGCTGGCAGATTTTTAAGGTTGCGGTCAACGTATGAGGAATTTTGTTTAATATTTGCCTAAGCGGACTATGATGTTCCTTTTTTTTTGTTCTCGCTGGGAAAATGCATTTACGCATCATCCTCGTTATCAGGGGGAGTATGTGGGACTCGCCGGCCAAGAAGATGGAAAATAGCCGGAATACCCACTAAAAACCCAGCGGTGTTCCTTGTATCCGCCATGGCTGGGTCACGGGAACACTTGCGCAATATTCCGCGACCCAGCCAGAGACTATGACGTTCCTAGCTTTAGCTAAACCCTGCAAGTATCGCAATAGTTAGGCCAAAGATAATGCTCAGACCTTACTGACAGTTTTAACTGAACAGTTAGTAGGTAAAACTGTAACTGAACAGTTCACTGACTTTAACTTTACATAGTTTTATCTGAAGAATTCGATAGTACACACACTGTAACGGGCATTAAATAAGTTTGTTCAACTTTGGTATATCTAGTCACATTACATTCGTATGTAGAAATTTATAATGTAGAAAGGACAACAGTAAATAATTTCGCAAGTTATTTGCGAATTTGAGAAACTCTAACAACACTAACTTTCTTTTATAATGACAATAGCAAATTAACACTTGTGATTTAAGGAAAAAGTGCGATATTCATCTGGCGTTCCTTGCGCGCTTCATTTCTCTTGCATCCGCGTACGGAACAAACAACTATTGGAAAGTGCAACTCTATGGTGTGAGGCGAGTACCATTGACTGAACTTGACCGACACAGAGCTGAGAATAAATAGAGGCGGCAGAAACATTATTTGCCTAGCGACACCATTTACAAATACAAAACCAGAATAGTATACTTAAAGTAATGATTGATAAGCTGCTTTAATGTCTATTCATTAAGTTATTCAAGTTACTCTATTAATCAAGATTTAGTTTAGTTAAACTACCATACATACTGTTTAATGTAGGTTGTTTTAAAACACGAATTTTTAACTCTATGGTCGTTACAAAGATTCACCTGAATATTTTCACTTTCTATAAACTTAATAACACTTAAATCTTCGTATAGACATACGTTTCTTGCAGACAGTGTACTTATCGGTCGATTCAGCGACGTACTATCATCAAGAGAAAAGTGAGAAAGTAAATTACTCAAGAGGAGAAAATAATAATAAACAGATAAGATGTGTACAACAATAATAAACCTTTAATCAATAGGCATAATAAATTGGTGAAAAGCAACCTTCCAAGTTTCGGTCGCCCTTTTTATCTCGTAATGCGTCAAGTCTAATCTAACTATGTAACTAATATTATAAATGCGAAAGTTTAGATGGATGGATGGATGTTTGTTAGAGTTTGGAGAGGATAATCTGGAAGAACACATAGGCTACTCTTTTATTTTTTTAATACCACGCGGACGGAGTCGCGGGCAATAGCTAGTGAAAATTAAAACGTCAGTGTAGTTGAAAGTGATGACACGGGATTGTTATGGGATACTTTTTTTTAATTCTGCACCGACAAAGTCGCAAGCCACCGCTAGTATAAGAAAAGACTAGTAATTTAAACTCACCCGTCTGGCTTTATCACTGTCACTGTAGTCTACAGGTTGGCAAGCAAGACTGTAATCACCCCACCATCCTGATGCAAGGTGCTGAAAAAAATAAATCTTTAAAAAAAAACTTCTCATATTCCCGATTATTAGATCGCAGATTGCCTTGAGTTAAAGTGAAAGTGTACAAATACTGTGCTATCTATCATTCCTAAGTTTTAATTGCTCGTAACACATTCATCGACAGTTAAGAATAAGTTTCTTTACGTGTAAGATAGGATAAAACGTGCCTGAGAATGTCTGATGCAATTATTGTTTTGTGTCGTAAAGCACAGATATAGTCAATTTAATGAAGAACTAAAAGATACATTTTGCATTTAAGCCTTCATTAGATAAAGAAGCAAATGAAAATAACATCAAAAGACACATTAAAGTCAAAGAAATAATTACTTTCATCATATAAGGAAGTGTTCCAAAATTAAGATAAAATATTAGGTAATTTCACTACAATAATAGGGTACCCTCGAAGCGTGAAGGACGTATCCGCTCGAGTGATTGCAAGTTTTCGTAACGACTGACGCGACCGTCTTGTAAACTATGAACACTGTAATGCTCCAGGTATCAGTCGGAGAAGACATGAGAAAATCAGAATGTCTTTTTATAAAAGGAGACTAAGGAGAGACACGTCGATTTTACGTGGTTATAGAAAGGCGACAGTGACCATTCTACATCTAAGGAACTGCATATGCGTTACATATTGGGTTGTTTGTCTGTATGTTTGTTGTGCTTATTTATATGTGTGTATTTTATTTGATACAGATGTCTGTGAACGACAGAGAAATGTTACGCCATAAAACTATTCAACGTTTAATCTTTGGCATTGTTTAGTAGTAAAAAAACACTGACCTCATAAAACATATACAATGACAGTAAAACCTGTCCAGCGTTGTAAGCCACTAGAATGTTCTGTATGCTGAAAGGCTTCTTGTTGGTCATCCAGAGCGGGCCCGCTACCAGCACGAAGGCGAGGTAGGCGATAACCATGGCCAGGGTCGGCAGGGGCGTGTCGAACAGAAACCATCCTTGTACTCGGGGATCTATAATATAAAGGTTATTGAACTTACGTTTCGTTAAAATTAACAAAATTAAATTTTTAATTACTAGTTTGATACGAGGACGACCTTATTAAAGTTTTATAAAAGTAAAGTGGGACCGAATAAGGATGGATCATGAAAAGATAGTTTTAGATATGATGGCTGATAGAGGAAGAGTACATATGCCGACCTTACGTAGGGATAAGAGCAACTTAATAGGCATTTCTTCACACGTCTTAGTTATTTGCGTTAGTTACATTGCTGCACTGGTTATATACAGCGTAATTACTATATAAGTGCATTTCAGTCCAGTGCACATTTGGGTTACTTTTAATAATACACTATTATTCTTACCCTATTGTTTAAGCTTTCTCTACGAAAATTACACACATTTTAAACAATTTGATTTGAATGTTACATGATTGACATCTTTTTGGTAAATTGGACTTCAGTATTTGAAAATAAATGAAAATATATTGCAGTAAGGATTCTATACAAATAGATAAATTAAATTAGAATGTCTTACTAATCATACTAATATTATAAATACGAAAGTTTAGATCGATGGATGAATGTTTGTTAGAGTTTGTAACCTAAACTGCTGAACGGAATTTGATGAAATTTGGCATCGACATAGAGCGTAGCCTGGAATAACACATAGCCTTACTTTTGTTTTTAATTCTACGCAGACGGAGTCGCGGGCGAAAGATAGTAATAAAAAATCGTGCACATGATTATTGCGTTACGTAAAACGACGGAATTTATCTATAATGGTTCGAGTATCTTTTTAATTTGACGTTAATGGCATCGCCAGTACTAGCTAGCATAATAAAATAAATTGAATGAAGCTGAGACTCGCGTAGTTTATGAATGAAAGGTTTTTGATGTATGACGTCATACTCATTTTCATTTCGAAACGGCTTTTCAACGAACATATTGAGTTTTTTTATTAACTTTTTTAAACATTGCTATGGCAACTTAAGTAAACCATTACAAAATGACTTTAGTTTTTAATATGACAAGAATGAACTGAATAACGCAATTTTGCAATAATTCTGTGCTGTTAAAATAAGAATGGAGTTTTAAAACTAATAAATAATTTTATTGAAACCACTATGAGTCACACCTCTATCCCACAAATAAAATAGTTAAAACGAATATCAGTGTAGGACACACTAACTTATGTTACTTAGCATATGGTAACTACATATAAGCTTATCATCATCATCAGGACACCATACGTCTCCACTGAGGGACTCGGAGCCTTTCATAACTTAGGGGTGACTAGGCCTAGCGAGGGTGCTGCCAATGGCAGCAGACGCAAGCCGGGGCCGCAGACGTAAGCGAAAGCATGCCCGCAGCCCCGGCTAAAGCCACTGGAGGAACCAAGGGGTTTAGTGGGTATGCCCCCCATTATGAGGGTAGAGTCACACGTAACTACCGCGTCCCCCCTGGATGCGGAGTATGCGTAAGATGCATTCCCCTCGAGTAACAAAAAAAAAGGGGTGACTAGGTCATCGCTGGCCCATTGCAGGTTGGTTGACTCCACACATATCATACTTAAAAATTGCTTTGCAAAAAAATCAGTATAAACAAATTATTGTAATAAAGAATAGTAGCGGTTTCAATTGTTTTTTAGAATTTACAGGAAAAATAAAATGTACATAATCAAAGTAAGTTTTAATGATTGTTGATTAGCATTGATTGGCTATTGAATTTGTTGAATGCAAAAAAATATGCAAATATAACTAATAACGTGAGAACTGACAGTCAACACGACAGAACTAATAAGTGGTGACCAGTTGTCCTACAAAAACAAACCTATAGGTAATCTAACTAATGTTAGAAATGCGAAAGTTTAGATGATTGTTTTAGTCCGCATTACTGAAAATTTCATATTCTTAGTAAAACAGAATATTTATGATAGTGACTTATGGTATAGTAAAAGAATAATTGTAATTTTTGCTGCTTACAAAAATGTAGACGAATTAAGAGCGTTTTGACATCGTTTAAAAACAAGCCTAAATGTGTAGTGTGGACTCAGTGTAGATTTAATTAAAAAAACATACAGAAGAATTGAGTACCTTCTTTTGGGAAGTCGGTCAAATATCTACGGTAAACAATAACATCTCGGAGTTTACAAGCAAGTTGTACTAAATAGTCGGAAGTTGAGAAAGCTTAAGTACACATAAATATAGCGAATTCCTTGCTTGAGAATTCTTAGCCTTTGAAATGCATTGACAGCAATAGACAATACGTACATATTCTTTCAAAAATAACAGTTGTTTAGGAAACCTTGACTTGGTTAAATTCTTACTTAACGAAGTCAATGACCTAATAGTTGACTTGAAGTAAGCCTTATTTTCTACAGATAACTAACTAATTTTCATAAATATCTAGGACTAAGCGAAAATGCTGTTTATCACAAATTATATAAAGACTAGCTGTTGCCCGCGACTTCGTCCACGTGGTATTAAGCTATGTATCCTTCGGGAACCGGACATTTCTCGGGGATGAACCTTTTCCCATGTGTACTCCAGACTTCGTTTTATATCTGTGCCAAATTTTAATGAGATATGTTGAACCGTTGCAGTATTATCAAGTAAACATTAAAAAACAAAATTAATGACTCCCACGGGAACCGTAACTATTCCCGGGACAAAAGTAGCCTTTGTGTTCTTCCAGAGTATGCTCTACACCTGTGCCCAGTTTCATGGAAATCTGTTCAGCCGTTTAGGCTACAAACTCTAACAAACATCCATCCATCCATCTAAACTTTCGCATTTATAATATTAGTAAGATTGTGTTACGGGTTATATTATTAGTTGAATTGTAAAGTAAAAGTGGTGCCAGTAAAAGTTTCGATGATAAATCGAACTATCTTAGTAAATGCTCACGCCTTTTATTGATAACTGCCTCATTGAAATCGAAATGAAATCTTCAATCAATCTTCACTTTTGTGCTGACAAAGAAGCAAAAAGTCTCATTAAAATTGCTATGCTTAAAACCAACTAATAGTTGATTTTTCATCGTGATATTTTAATGAATATTTGTAATGATTTTTATTAATTAGATCGAATAATTTTCTTTGTTTATTCGATTTGAAATAACACAAAAACTTTCAATGTATTTTATTTAACTATTGTTATGTATTCTTGAAGTCATGGCTTAGTGGTGAGCTGGTGATGAATATCTCTTTGTTTTTTTTAATATCATTAAGGTGGCAATAACGGGATTGTTTTGTCAGTGGCATCCCAAAGTTAAAGTATATTAAACAATGATCTACCTGATACTCGCTCTGCCAGCATCCAGTACTTGTTTATTATGGTCGTCCAATTGTTGTCCGAGTAGTAATCGTCGATGGCGATTTTCACGAAACCCGTCATTTTGTTAGTTTATTTTGTACCACTTTTCACTTTTATCGTTTTAAAATCACTGGACACTCACACGCCACTTAAATCCTATCACTGTCTGCCGAAACACGGCCACAATTTGCTGGCTGCAAGTCGTCACCTAAAAGGAAAAAAGAAAACATAATTAATCATTAAAAATAAATTGTTTTCTTGATATAAAATAGTTAAGATTTTTCCCGGTTTAATTTTATTTTTATTAAAAAATAAACTTTACCGGTAATCAGTTCCCATGCGTAGCGTCATTTTACGATAAATATTTATGCTAATACAGTCAAAGGCACATCTCTTTGCGGCTAACGAAAGGGAAAACCTGAGCTTTGCGTGAAAGTGCGCGCGAGTCGATCTCCGGCACGGAATTGAATCTCCCGCGCAGGCTCGCCAATAGCGGCGGTACAACCCCTCCACTTCCAGAACGACGTATACGTCAAATATTGCGACATTATAAATTGCGTTTTAACACGAACGCACAATGTTGACGTTTCCTAAACAACCTTTGATAAACGGTTTCCCTCCCGCGTAATTTTAAAGTTTCTTTTGATAAGATAAGATTTTTATTTATAAGAATTTACTTACTTGTTTAAAATAATATACGAGTATAGAATAATAATTACATTTTTAAATTACATAATTTTATGTTTTACATTTTATAATTTTTTTTATTAGCAATTTAGTAACCAATCTTTGTCATCACAGCCTTCGATCGATTTCAAAATTTCGTATATTAATATGTTATATATTTAACTTTTGTAACAGTTAAGGGTTACGATATAACAGTTAATTATGTATGTTTAGAAATATAACGATTAAAAATTCTGCGCATGAAACATTTGTACATATGAATGGAAATTTACATAATAACTCGCAAAATGATCCGTGTAACATTTATATTGCACATAATAGTAGGAAAAAATTAAATGTTCATTGTTATGACTTGAGAGCCTAACTATCAAGATTGTACACTAGTAATATTAGATGTTTAGTTTTAATATTTGTTAAATACGTTAATAAAAGTGTTATATGATTTCCCCTTAAGTTTTGGAATCATAAAAAATTACCGGAGCTACGTTACTTTAGCCATATCACTGACTAGCTGTTGCTCGTGACTTCGTCCGGTTGGAATATAAAATACTGGCCTACGTTACTTAAAGATAATTTACCTTTCTGATGATGAAAGAATTTTAAACTGGGCCCAGTAGGTTTTCACGTGAATCGTATACATACAGAATGCAAAAATACAAATTTTTCCTCCTACTACTCTTAGTGTATTATTATTTAACGATAATTATTTAAATTACTTCGTTGTTAAAATTGATAATTAAAAAAAAAACTTTACCTTAATATGCTCAAAATGTTTATCCACTCGGTTATGTAAATTTCATACAAATATGTGTTTAAATTATTGAAACATATGCAAGAAAGATCTCTCAAAAGCAGAGGCATTCTAGTGCAGATAACAGATCAGAGATGGCGTTAGCAGTAACTTTCACTGGCACAATTTCAGTGAACTTGTACAATGTCCCCCTTCGCTCAATGTCAAGAGCTTATTGCTGTTGGTGCTTAATTGAAAGAAAAAGTTAATAGATTTTATTGTATGTGTAAGGGCTTTGATTAAATTGGACGTGAGTTAAAAATTGAATTTTACGATTTTTTTCTAACATAGAATCAACCATTAGAAACTTGGCTTCAGGCATTTAAAAAAATAATAAAAAAACTATAGCAGATCTACAATGTTTTTTTATTATTTTTTTCTGCATTGAAGAATAATGTCAACATCTACGAATACAAAATCTGCAATACTGATGCACTTTTCAAAAATTACAACATGCAGTGTAATGCAGACATTTTACACAAACAGTAATTAATCAGTTGAATTTGTGATGCAATTTACATTACTTTTGGCTGCTTGTGCAAACTATATGTAAACAATTTAGCATACATATTGAGTCTTACTATTGTTATAAACTTACTAATATTATAAATGCAAAAGTTTAGATGGATGGATGTTTGTTATACGGCTTTTTTTATAATATAAGGTGGCAAACGAGCAAGCGGCCTGAATCCACCGAAATGGAAAGCGACCGCTGCCCATAAACATCCGCCATTGCAGATGCGTTGCCTACCCTTCATTGACGGAGGAGAAGACGCACATAAAGAGCACAATTCTCCTTCTTATGCGTCTCCTCCACCGTCAAATCCACTTATCCTTCCCATCCTTTCCTTTTAAGAAAAGGGTCGAAAGGGAAAGGGACTAAATTTGGCCTTCGGCACCACACTCATCAGACGAAAAGCGGAATTGCTTCCACTTCACGCCTGTTTTCTGTGTGGAGCCGGCCCATTCGTGCGAAGATGTTAAAGCGGGCTCTACCACTGTCAAAACGGCTCAACGGATCTCGATGAAATTTGGTATAGACGTAGAATATAGTCTGAAAGAACACATAGGGTACTTACTTTTGACTTTTTTAATTCCACGCGAACGGAGTTGGGGGCGGTAGCTAGTATTTAATAAACCTCTGTTTAATGTTGGTTATTTTAACAAGTAATTATCATGTATCGAGTGCGCACAACTTTCATAGAATCATTATTTTGCGTAACCGCGTCTCAGGGTCGGCTATGCAATTTAGCCGAATAGTTTTCGGCTCTGGTATTTGAACAAAATCAAGGTGGAATTTAATGATTTATCATTTAGGCTTTCTTACGAAACTCAGCGAATAGAAATGTAAATATTTTTAGATAAAATATTGGCCTAATTTTTGCATAGTCTTATTTTTTAATAATAATTTTACCTTTTTGTATAAAAAATGCATTTTTTTCCCTACATTCGTTACTGTTCTTTTCAATGATCGTATATTTTGTATTATTATTACTGGAGACGCAAATTCAACCTATGAACGATAACAATTTTTTAATGCACTAAGATAGCTTTTGCTTTTCGTATTTTAGCAGTATCTTAGTATTATGTTATGAAAAGTTCATTAGCTTTTAAGTTGTTGGAACTTGATTATCTAAGTTGAATCATTTGAGATTCATCAAATTCCATTCAACTGCTTTCCTAAAAAGCTTCCAGTGGCGTGATGTGAAGGTCAACTTTCGTAAGACATTGTGTAAAGCACATAACTCGTTCTGCCACCGCCGCAGCCGTGGCCGGTGCTGCTTGGTGGCTGGTGCTGCTAACCAGGTTAAGGTCGGACATAGAGTTCTCGAACGTAAGCTAAATGTTTACGTAAGTGTCGCAGGTGTGCCACAATATTTGTGATTTGAACCTCTATGTTTTTATTAGCTGAAACCAGCATTCCAATGTTACATTCAATACAATGTCAGAACGTTTAATTAAAGTTATCAACTGTTTTTTCAGAAGCCACATAACAGGTGCATATTTTTTACATAAAGAATGAAAAAGTGATCTTGAGTTATCTTACTTCTTATATATGTAAATGAGAAAGTTTGTATGTTTAGATTTTTTTATAGTAGAAGGGGTAAAACTAGCAGCGGATCGCTTAATGATAATTAATCCGACGCCCATGAACATCCGCAACACCAAGGGAACTGCGGCGCTGCCGGCCTTTAAGGGAGGAGTGCGATCTTTTCTTGAACGCCCCTAAGTCGTTGATGGATGATTGTTAGATGGTATCTCTTAGCGGTTGAATGAATCTCCATGAAAAATGTCATACACGTAGACTGTAAAACTATAAACTTCTAGACGGAACAACATACGGCCACGTATAAATTTTTTTTTTTACCGCGCGGATGATGGCGCGTGTGAATGCTAGTTTGATATGAATCTTTAAATAAAATAATGTACATCATACATTAGATGAAATCAATCTAAAACGTGATTAAAGTCACGCTGAATTTCTTAATTAAAATAAAACAGCGATATTTAACATTATTCTTATTTCTTAATCGCAAATCTTCCTTCTAACGTTTTATGTTAATAAAGATGTTATTTATGATAACATGCGATACGTGAACAAGGGTTTATGAACGTGTGTACAATTAGAATTGTTTTACAAGATTTTACATAGAGTATTATACGAAGATAGAATAACAATAAAAAGTTTATTGTTCGAGTCTAAAAAAACTTGAGATTCTATTTATTCCATGCATGCGGGTGACAGCAAGTAAATTATAGTTTTACACAAGTTATGAATTGTGTAAAAATTACACAAACCGACCTTGTGATTTTCATCTTCAAAGCGGTCAACCTTGACTGGTATACCCAGCCCTAATTGCTTAGGTCACTGTCACTACACATTCTTATATTCTGTGTACACATTACACACTACGCAGCCCAATGTTGTTACTAAAACTAGTAATAATGTTATGGTCTGTTAATTTTGTTTAACATTCGCTGTTTAGATAAATCTATTGCTTTAATTAGCCTAGATTTAAAGAATTACCTTAAGCTAATTATACTACTAATGAACTAAAAATTATTTTACATTGTGTTGTAATTTAACGCGAGGGCAAACAACTCACAAGTGACCACGTGAAATACCTGATGTAATTTTATTGCTTGGACAAAAGCAAATATTGAATTAAAAAATACAACAAAAATGATACTTTTTATTTACTAAATTCTATGTAAAAAAATTACTATTTAACTTACTAATTCAGTCATTTCATTTATTTATTGGTTATGGCTGAAGAGGAATTTATATGGAGGAATTGTATTTATTTCTCGTATTTTTACAGATATACGAGCAAATTGTAGTAAACTAGAGGATACTCTACATTGCCTTTTTTAAGATCCTATATGTTTAACCAATAAATGCGTAAATGGGAATTGTAAGTTTAAATGCGGAGTGAATGGACATCCAAGACGCCTTACGTTTTTTGTTGAGTGATGATTCATTGACGCGTTTGAAACTATTCTCGAAGGGCACGGGCGGTGTTGAGCAAGCGATGTAAATAATTTCCGCAACTGACACGCAATTGCCAGGATATTGCAATTGCAATGAGCACGATAGAAAATTGATAAACAACTTCTTGATTTATAAGTATTATAAATTTGATTTATTATAATTGAATAAAGAGCATACAAAATAAACAAAGGGTTTATTCGGAATATTCGTGAGAATGTTGTCGTAACAAAAAAAATATGTAGATTGGTGCAGCGACTCTACCGGGTTAATTTTGTTTGCTTTTTTAAATTTTGCAACAAATAATTGAGTTTTATTAAAAATCTGAAATAGGATATCGAATGTTTGTCGAGTTAAAACAAAGTTTTATCTTTTCATGATACAAAATGACAATGGAAAAAATCATAATTTAGTAACCTTTTATTCTTTACAATTTAAATGCAATTAAGTCGTTACCGAAGTTCAAATAAAATTCAGTGCTAGTTGTTTTGCAAACAATCAGCATTGTGTCTTGTAAGCTAATTTTCTACAGCGATTATGTCTTGTTACGATCTTTGAACTTGGCATTGGCTTTAAAATGACATAAAGCTATTAAGATCATTAAATTATTTGTAAAATTGCATTAAAGTAAACTAAATTGAATGAGTTGCTTTATTTAATACGCACATTAAAATATTATTAAATTTACAATAAAAGTACTAATATTATAAATGCGAAAGTTTAGATGGATGGATGTTTGTTAGAGTTTGTAAACAGATTTCGATGAAATTTGGTATATATGTATAGAATATCCTGTAAGAACATATAGGATACTTGCATTTTTTTTTAATCCGCGCGGACGGAGTCGCGGGCGAAAACTAGTTTACAATAAAAATTAATTGTCCAAAGTTGACTTCTCTATCCGGGCGGAATTCTACAAGTAATTAATCATTAATCTTACTAATACTAATATTGTAAATGCGAAAGTTTAGATGGATGGATGGATAGATGGATGGATGGATGTTTGTTAGCGTTTGTAGCCTAAACGGCTGAACGGATCTCGGTGAAATTTGGCACAGGTTTAGAGCATAGTCTGGAAGAACACATGGGCTACTTTTTATCACGGGAATAGTTACGGTTCCCGTGGGATTCATTAATATAGTTTTTTAATGTTTACTCGATCATTCTGCAACGGTTCAACATATCTTATTGAAATTTGGCACAGATATAAAAAAGTATGGAGTACCCATGGGATAAGCTTCATCCCCGAGGTGTCCGGTTCCCGAGGGATATGTAGCTTTTTGTAATTTATATAGTTCGTGTGTTTTCTAATACCACGCGGTCGAAGTTGCGGGCAACAGCTCGTAATCTATAAGGTCTTCCAGAATATTCAACATGTAAGCCAAATTAAGCTATCCAGTTTAGCTAATCTAGAGATACTTAATAACAATACCTCCATCCATCCATCTACACCTAATGTAACGTAAGTCGTATGAATGAAGAAGTGAATATTCATACAATTTCTATGAAAAATATTATAACTTAAAACTTTGTCACACAAAAATGGTTATATTCCTAAATACCCAATAAGGTTATACTAACGGATGTCCAGATCGACGTTGTCAAATAAACTCTTGCTCTTTTAAGGGATAAACAAATTTGTATACGTTGTAAATAATTATTCATATCCTCTGTTCTTAAAATAACTTCCAAGAAGATAAATGTACTATGAAACCTTAGTTTTGAAACTATACGTATAAAAACAACCAAAACACTACCTGTGATTTTTAAGAAGCAAACGAATACGTCACTGATATTTTAAAACAGTCTTCGTAAACTTGCGCACAAATCTTTTGAACCGTGAGTTCTTCACAAGACTACTGAGACTGAAATTACTGTTGACAATGATACGACAATTTTAATACATTTGAAGCACAAAAACAATTTGATCGTCTTAAACGCGTAGAGAACACTAACACTACAACACCAAGCAATGAAAAAAAACAAGAATGGGATTAGGATTGAAATGGTATAAGTGGATATTTGTTAGTTCGTAGCCTAAATTGCTGAACGCATGTCGATAAAATTTGGGATAAACATAGAGTATAGTCTGGAAGAACACATTGGTTACACATTTTGTTTTTTTTTAACTCCGCGAGCACGGAGTCGCGGCGAAAGCTAGTATGTTAACAAAACTACACTAGTTGTTAAGCCTTGTCCCAGTCACGATGTCAAATTGCCTAATAATATTTGCTTGAACATTTTTAGCATAGTTCAAGCGCACGTATTAACTAGGTTAACCACATACTGACCCGTATTGTACTGAGGGTTAACGCTGTATACATTTGTAAAAAGTGTTTCATCCCTTTTCAATTTATTAGCAAAATAGAGATGGAAATCATTTAAAATTTGAGTGTAAAGAAGTACAATTTCATGGTTAAAGTGACATCAAAAGGACAGTTGCTACAGAAAATAGGCGTAGGACAAATTGACATAGATCGTGTTAAAAACACATTGTGTGGCTACCTTTATTATATATCTACATGCTGTTACTAGCGATTTCGACTGCGTGGTATTGAAACAAAAGATTAAAAATGCTGCCTATTTTACTCACTGATAACGTAGCTCTTTAATGGTGCTAGAGTTTAAAATATGTCCAATTCTTTTGGAGTTATTTCAATACATACAAAAATACAAACCTTTCCTCTTTATAATGTCAATGAAAAATATTCCCCATAAACAATGTATTATATAGCGGGATGTATAGGAAATCTAATTACTCCATACGGTCAAACACTTTGCGACCATAACGATTTTTTCTAAGTTTTGACGCAAATCTTTGATGAACGTTATTTCCAAACAATTTAAGAAAAATGTTTTACGCTTTTTGTCGCAAAACAAAGCAGACTAACGACTTAAAACGTAGTCTAATTTGAACAAAAAGGACGTTAAGCCATTTGAGCAGTTTCAACGTATAGACCGATAAGGATTTCTGATCCGGTAGGCAAATCAAACGATATTATGACAACATACTGACTTCCACTCACACTCTTACTTGACTGTCTTGTAAGACATAGCCTGTAGGCTCAGATAAGAGATATAGATACACATACATCTAAATGGAAACTGGTTTTGTTCCTTTGTGATTTACAAATCTTATCGGTAAAACTCTAGCCATGAGCACTTCAAACAGAAGTTGAGGAAACTGATTTAATCATTATTTTCGAATATTTAAAAATAGACGTATGAAAAGATTACAAAAGTCATATTGCGCGCTTGCATATAAAACGTGTTAAAAGTTTCCGTTTAACAAGAAGGTTGTTTAACGTCCTGTTTTAATTTTCACGTAATTACATAACTTTCCTCCAATAATCGTAATGTTACGCTCGAATACGTTAACGAATTCATTAAAAATTGTATCCCGGAAGGAAATGAGTTATGTTCGACTAATGTTTCAATTCTAGATTATTTAAGTATTTAGAGCGTGCGGACACCCGAAACTAAACTATCGCACAACTGTTTAGTCTCGCTTTAATGCCTATGAGCTTATATGGAGGTGCGCATACTACTCGATTTTTAGTCGTGCAACTAAACAAGTGAATTGGCTGCAAAACAATCGACTATCGCACAGTTGTGCGATTGTTTGGATTCAGTTGTGCGCATTCTCTTAGAAGATATTTAATTAGAATAATGAATTAAATGCAGAAGTTTATATATGTAAATTACTTACTGTATTCGGCAGCTCAGTACATTGAAGCAGCCGGGATCACAGGACAGTGCGTCGCTCAGAAGGGTTGCTCGTTTGATCAGCACACAGTACTCAGTTGAGCCGTACTCGTTGCTCAGTTTAACAGGACCCGTGCGTAATGCAGCCGTGATTGCCGGCAAGGTTCGTTGCTCAGTACGGCAAGGCTCGGTGGTGCGTTACAAAATCGTACTCCTCCTCTTCTGTCAGCACACACTCCTCGAAGCACCAGAGGCCGGCGATCGCCAACAGAATGGTGTACACCATGTAGTACACCAGGTAGATTAGGATGGTAAACAACATAGCGCTGATCTTTCCTTTTTGTGCTATGTGCCTGGAACAAAGATTTCTCTTATTGGTGTGGACGTTTTATTAAGAGAAGAGCCACATGAGAGATGTGTGGTACCACAAATGTATAGTTTACATGATTAGTAGAGAGAACAGTTAAACAATGCTGCTTCTCCTTTAATAACACAGAACCTTAGAAGTCCCTCCACTGGTGTGGGAGGAAGTTTATGCATATTTTGCATTTGTTTTTTACGAATAAATATCTAATAGAACCGCTGAATGTATTAGCGTCATCGTCCTTGTTAAGAAACGTACAATTTTCGTTAATCTAGTTATAATGACTGGGTTTCCATTGTTCATGTGCCGTCATTAAAATAGCAGTCGAGGACCTTACAAGGTATTTCCCCGTTTATACAATTATCATCATTGCAATGAATATCGCTGTAAATTTAACTTAAAATATGTGTTACATGGTTCTAAATACTAAATTTCTAGAATAATCTATTAGGGGTTAAATGCTTTTACTGTTTGCGTTTAGATTTTTTTACAATGATCACATTATGAGTTACAATTACAATGATTATTTTTTAGTTGTTAACAGACGCCGGCCACAGACTGCAGTGAAAGGGTCCTCTACGATGAATAATTTTGAAATCAATATTGCAACCACCTTTGAGCATATTTCGTAATCTTTGTTTACGAACGAACTTCGAATCGTTGTAGACACAATTCAAAGGTCAAAATCACTTGACATACGGTTAATCGTGCTGCGGCTTATCTATCGCACTTCTAAAGTCTGTGGCTTTATAAATTAATATCATTAAGTAGTCGGCATGATGGATGCGGCGTTTACATGGTAATCCGTAAAATGTATTTTTTAAGATTCAAGAGTATACAATAAACTTTAACCATACTAAATATTGAAACACGTACTAGAATGAAAGCGAATTATTAAACTTAGGTGTACAAGGTTTGTATGCGTTGTTTTATTGTTTTGCCTTGGACAGAAGGACACAGTGATCCCTGAGATAACAGAATTCTCAAAAAAATGTATCTACATGGAGATTTGCGTGTGAGATTGCTAATAGCCACTCACGACTTGTATTAAATGCGTTTCTACTGTCGTTATACTTGTAAATAAACAATAATCTCATCACTAGCATTTTCTAAGAAAAAAATTGAAATAGATGTATTCCTTTAGGTGTGTTTCATTTGAGAATTATGATACTTTTTTATAAGAGAAGTAAGCAACTGATCAACGGAAACACTGAGGTAATCATCGACGCTCGTAAACATCGGCAAGATCAGAGAAATTGCAGATGCCTTTTAGATATACACTCCCATCTTGAAGGACTCTAAGTGATACTGGTTTGGTAACACCACCAAGGACAGACCGTTCCACAAATTATGTTGGATTATGAGTAATATTTCTAGAATATTCTAATAGATATGCGTAGAATCCGTGTGTGGTGTGAGGCAAGCGGTCGGCGTCCGGCGCGGTGGAGCAACCGCCGCCTTTTACTACAGCATGAGTCGCCAACGGAACGAGAGTAAGGCCGAACAGAGCGGAACACGGCGCCATATGATGCTCCTTTTTCATATTCCACTAGAGACCAATATAAATAAAAAAAATAAACACTTTTACAATACAGTGTAAGAGGAAAAATAAAATTTACCGGAATAGACGAACTGTAAATTAAACAAATTTTCATTTTACTTTGCACGTATGCTTAAGAATGTAGTAGATTCAGATGGTGTTCTAATTATCAACATCCAATACATTACAAGATCAGTACAAACAGCTGATCGCCCATTGACGGATATACGCTACGGATCGGCGGCACAGCGCTGCGGTTGATGCAAAAATAACGACACAAATTATGATTTGTTTAAACAGAACGTAAGCTCACAACATACACCAACGTATCTATTGGCTGCCAACAAAATACGTCTATATAGTAACAAATTCCGACTGATTTGTATTGAGAAATGCATCGAATTTCAATTAAACCGGTCCGCAGACCAGAAAGGCTGGTCTCACCTTATCACGCCGCGAGCACTAAGTTTAGACAAACTATTTACTACTGCTTTACCAAAATAGTCGCGATAACTTACCACTCGTAAATAAATACTTTGAGCACCCCACTGTAAAATAGCTAAGTAAACCACCCAAATCCAGAAAGATGCAACAAATAGACTTGAAGGTCGACAAACGCGCCTTGACTTATATGTCTTAGAACAAAAGTGCATATAACCATTTTACTAATACTATAAATGCAGAAGTATAGATAGATGGATATTTGCTAGAGTTTGTAGCCTAAACTACTGAACGGATCTTGATAGAATTAGCCATAGACGTAGAGGATAGTATGGGAGAACACATAGACTAATCACTTTTCTTAATGCCACGCAGACGGAATCGCAGGCGAATGCTAGTTAAAAATACATTAAATGTAAAATTATGTAAAAAAAACGACATCAATTTATTGAAAAGATTAATGGGTTAAAAACCAAATGTCTTTTAGGGTTGCCACTACCTTTGAATCATATGATCACAAAATTTTATTTAGTTTTAATATTTCACATATATTTGGGAGGTGGTGACCTACGACACCTCTGGGTCACCATTAGGTCAATGCCACACGCACACTGACACTAGTCAATACTGAGACGCGAATTGCAACACCTAGGGATGTCAAATATAATTTTATAAAGATGCGAATATAAAGAAACTTAATTGTAATAGTAAATTGGTGATTATTTACTCGACGAATTGACGATGCTTGCGAAATTTTAATTAACCGTCGTTTTGATTTCGTCAGCTTGGATATTGAAAGCAATGTTTTTATAATATACAATTTTTATTTCATGATTTGAGATGTATATGCCTCATGTCCACCATTTTTTATTTAATCTAATGAAGATAATGTAATATTTAAGGTTAAACGAGGATAACTAAGCAGAGAACAGATAGTTAGAACTAAGGGAGATTAATGGAATTAATTCATACCTAAAAAGTATTATAAAAAAATAATACAAACACTTACAAGTATAAAAGATTTTATTTATGGACACTGTTTTTTTACTAATCTCCTATGACTTTTAGTTAGTAAACCATATGCGTTTAACTATTTCTATCGGCCACATAACTTAAAATAGGCACAACTTAATTAAAGCGATTCGCAACATAAGTTACGACACGCTTCACTTACGTTATCTTAACATTTCGGAAGTCCCGGTCACGGCCGCTCGATGGTTCCTCAACATAACAACTTCGAAGCGCGTTCACAATAATAATAAATGAAACTAGTTTTATAACATCACTAGTTGTCGACTTTAAATAAACAGAAGCACAATATCTATGTGATCTTCCAGATTGTCTTCTATATCTGTGACAAATTTTATGAAGATCCGTTTAGTACTTTTGGCTACAAATTCTAACAAACATCCATGTAAATTTTCACATTTATAATATTAGTATGATTGTCAGCATTTTCTGGGATAAATGTTAAAAAAAATCATACATATATCATTGAAATGGAACAGTAACTTGCATGCCAGTTAACCAGAACCTACGAGACAAAATCAAGTAAGGTATGTCAGCTATAATAATTATTAAATCTGTAACAATTATTAAGCAAGTAAAGGATTTAAATCTTAATACAAGTACACGCGCAATACCGACAAAAACATTCGACAAATATAGCAATTTAAACACTTTCTGTTGTCAAACCAAATTTATATGACGATCGAGTACTGAAACGACCGATATGTAACAGCGTCCTTAATGATCGCACTCTAATTCCAAAATTTATTACTTTTTTAATACATGTAAGCGGAGTTTAAGAAACGAAGTATTTAAGATTCGTTTCAATATACGGCCGTTCATTGTTTTAATGTAAAAGGAGTTTACATACGATTTAATTACATTGTTTTTCTGCATTACGCAAGATGAAAAACAAAACTAAAAAAATCGAGTACTAAAAATAAACCAAAGTAAACAAACTTTGTTGTCGATGATTATATCATTAAGGGCCAGTCTCACCACTGGCTGATAACTTAAAAATTACGGCACTGTCAGATAAGGTAACAAAATCCGATATTTACACGTTCAGACAAATTAAAATTTAGTGGGACAGGCCTTTAAAAAGTAAGGCGTGAAACCAGAAACCAAAACTGTCTTGTCATAGTACGGAGAATAATGTTACATGACCTTGTGACACACCCTCTTTGTGTTCTAGGTTATAAAACAAATTCGCACTTACACAATATGCACACACAAAATCCCGCCGCCTTCCTCAGTAACACCTATTTTCCACTAGCGCGATTGATGACTTTAGCTGAGCGACAACTGTTTGAACAAAGTAACCATTTACACTAGCGCGGCCGCTGGTGCTGCATAAACACGCGGTATTCAGTGGAAAAGTATTGGTCTTTCAAGGCAACAAAAGTTAAGACCAATATTGACGTTCCCGATTCTAGCAGTCGTTGCGTAAGAATTTCTCGAGGTTTGTAAACATTCTGCAGTGAATCCAATTAAATTCAATATAAATATGCGTATCGTAATAATATTGCGTGTCGAATGGATTGTTGTTGAGACTAAAAGAATCTAGAATGGCCTCGTGGGTCCGATAGGTTGATGAAAATAAGGTACATGTTTGTGTAAGTGCGCTGTATGAGGGCGACAAGTAACTTGTCTTTGTACACGTGGGAAAACTTTAACCGTAATTATACTAATACTATAAATGCGAAAGTTTAGATGGATGGATGTTAATTAGAGTTTGTAGTTTAAATGGCTGAAGGGATCTCGATGAAATTTGGCATAGATGTAGAGTCTGGAAGAACACATAAGCTACTTATTTTTGTTTTACCTTTTTTAAATTCCACGCGGACAGACTCGCTGGAGAAAGCTAGTAGACACTAATTGACTGAACGTTACACGAAAAACGTCCTAATATACTATCAAATCATAACACAAAAACAAACATTTGTACAGGTATTAATAAATGAAATAATTATGTGTCAATCAAATAATATTTACGTAACAGAACGTGGAAAATCTTGAAGAGAAAATTACTTTTAAAAATAACGTCATAGATATAAACGTTTGTCGCAAAACAATGAGTAGCAAGTTTGCAAAAACCACACGTCAATCATTAGACGAATGTGGTTAAAAAAATCCGTTCAAATTATATAAGCGGTTTTTCTATAAAACTAACTATTGCTGGCGTCTTCGTCTGCGTGGAGATAAAAATTGTAAAAAATGTAGTTTGAACCAATGATTACGTAGCTATTCACTAGTGAAAAGTTTTGAAATTGGCCCACTAATTTTTGAGTTATTTCAAAGATACAAATCTATCCTCTTTATATTAACTTGTGTAGATTATTTTTCGTGTAAGAAGTCGAAATGTGATCCGATTTTCAGATAAATCACTTTGCTTACGTCAATCTAAGTTAATAACTGTAAACTTTATGTAAGAATAATTGATGTTAGAATGTTGTCATCGAGTAATTAAAGTGATGAAGATCGCTCGGTGATGTTAAACGGACCAATGTACATTCATATAAGGCAGAGTACACAGTACATTTTTTACGGGCCATCGGTAATATCATTGTTTGTATTTACTCCCAACTATCGGATTGAACGGAATTATTTGACTGTCAGGCCTTTGGGTACTAATTTGAAATTATTATTTTTTTCAGTCATTACTGACCTACTTGTACTTTATAATAATATTCTACACCAGCTTTCGCCCGCGACCCCGTCCACGTGGAATTAATAAAAAAACAAAAGCCAAATTTCATCGAGATCCGTTTAGCCGTTAGGGCTACAAACTCTAACAAACATACGTCTATCAATCCATCTAAACTTTCGCATTTATAACATTAGTAAGATTATTGGTGTATTATTTTCATATTGCAAACTATGCAAGGTTCAGGTAGTTGCGATTATACGCATATTACAATCAAAGGTATGCTCATTATAATAAAATTTAATAAAATGGGAGCATGAGAACAAATTCTTCAAATTGGTTAAAAGTTCTGTGGTACACATAGCGGAATACCATTATTATTCAATGACATCAATGTGAACTTCGCTTAACTTGCATTACCAGAGTAAACTTGCGTCATCCGAGCTACAGTTTGGAAACTGTGACCGTTGCTTCGACTTAAATTTAATTCGCAATAATTTGCAACATTGTGTACACTTTGTTCACTTTCATGTTACAATGGTAGAGGCTATTAGGTATTGATAAAGGCAATATTAGTAGAAAATTGTGTCGAGAATGTAAGAGTTAAAAATTTGAAGATTTAGACTCAAAATATTAATACTTATCATTAAAGTCAAATAAACCACATATAATCTTACTAACATTATAAATGCTAACGTTTAGGATGGATGGATGCTTGTTAAAGTTTGTAGCCTAAACTACGTAACGAATCTCAGTGAAATTTGCAATAGATGTAAAGAACAGCGTGGAAGAGTACATAGCTTTTTTTTTTAATGAACGAGGACGAAGCCGCGGGCTAAGTTAGTAAAATAATTAAATAGCTAATGAGGGTTATCACTATAGTTCAAAAACAAGTAATAAAATATATATAATCTTACTAGATATGTAGTATAGGTAAGCTGCTACCAGAGGCTTCCACGATTGTGAAAAACTTCCACGATAAATACAACTCCAAGGAATAATCACTTAATTTTAAGTCATCATGACTTCTCTGTCGGGATTCCCTGTTCTTATAACAATTTAATATCGTTATTTAAAGATAATGATCATTTTATGCACATTAGTTACATAAATTCAGTCAATTGTCATGATGAGACACGACTTTATTACGCCTCTTGTTCCGATATAAATACACAAACATAAATAAAATAATATAAATCCGTGTGGAGCTAACAATACTTGGAATAACGTAAACTGAAAATTAAGAATTCACGACCATCTTTTTTACAACTATATGTATTTCCATTTTCTAGTTTTCATTCTAGACTTTATGCGTCGATCTTGACATTGCCCTCCAATCTTTATGTTTATTTCACACGGGGACAGTGAGGTAGTACAGAAGAATATTGCAGTACTGCTATCATTTGAATAAGTCGATGCCGAACAGTATTGTTCAATCTTCGTAGATACTGCCTGTCTCCGTGTAAAATAGCATATCTCTGTGTCCTACGGCTACAACGTACAACGCCCGTTGTATCGTTTGCATACTAATAATATGAAACGGAAGAGTTTCTTTGTTAGAATACGTTTTTTTTGCAAATCAATCCTATTCGATAAGTGGCTTAACATCTTGTCGCAACGGGTTTAATAGATTTTTAAACAATGTCTCCAAAAAAATAAAATAATTCATTTTGAATTGAGAATTTGTCATTTTGTAAAGAAGTAAAAATAAACTTTATTTTAATAGTAATATTAAAACCAGACAAACTGCTTTAATACATTTTTTGGTAGTTAATTGGAAAATTTGTTAATAACGTCACAATAAAATCAAGTTTGTTTTTATTAATACAAATTATTAATAAAGACGATTCTATACAGGTTGAATTTAATTAAGTGGGCGTGAGAGGCGAAATGTAAACTATAAGAAATAGCGAGAAGTATTCAATTTATTCAAACACATTACTTATTTTTCATTAAATTAGTTGAAATCTTAATTCCATAGTTAACCAATAGCGACAATTTAATTATAGTATAATTTGATAATTTTTTTCTAAATTTAGAGATATTATAATAGTATTTGATTTTTAAAAGCGTTAATTTTATCATATTATGTTACTGTTAATTAAATAAGTTAATTTACATGAAGAATCTACATTGGACCGCCGACAATCTAGAAGTCCCGGGGTCTATTCCCTTTGTACATCGATGTGTTTAGTTTTTCGGATTTTTACGGTAAAAAAACACATTGAATCTGCTCTACATATACATCTGAGAAGAAAATCAAAGATGTAAGAAGTCAAACTTTGTTAAATTAGGTCTAATCAACCATTTACCTTGCTCCTTGGTATGTGGTTACAGCGACAAAATAATACCTTTTAAATGAGGAAGACATGAATGCCATAAAAAGCATATTAAACGGAGATGTAAAAATTAAGACGTAATCATAACAATACATATAAAAATATCTTTATTCACAGCCTCAACTACGTAAAAATAAATTATCATAATAAAGATAAAGTTAAAAACACATCGATATAAATTAAGTAAAAGGGGGCCATACTAAAATAGGCGCGAAAATTCAAATGTCAAAGTTGGCACAGATAATGCTTTGAACATATGGGGCGTTGCGTTCGAAAATCAAAAGTCTTTCGGTTATGAAACCCAAGGTCATATGTGCGTGTGTGTATCGTGTGTATGTGAACTCACCCCAAGGTCGTGCGAAGGTCGCGCGCGGCGCACGGGCTCAATGGGACCGTAGCTCGCTCACTACTGACGGCGTGCGCGGGCGCAGCCACGCTGTTTCACAACCCTGCCGTGGTGGTGTCCTAACATTTCGCAGTGATTGTAATACAGTAAAGGTATAACGAATTTAATTCTTAATACTGCATACATTTTGAGAATATACCAAGGTTATTGTAATTATTGATATAAATAACTTATGGAATTCAAGTTTTCAACTATTTTCAATTAATTTCATCTTGTAATTGTTGACGATTGTGTGTGCAGAAAAATTGAATTCTTATTAAGCGGTGAATATCAAAAAACGAGAAATTGAACCGCTAAGCTCAGTCTAATTTAGATATTCGCAGAAAACATCCACTTGTCAACATCTCTAATAGCTAAAAAAATAGAATAATCTCCTAACGTTCTTGGATAGAGAATGAAAGTTTTTTTTTTATAATTCTTCCTCTAGACACAGACTCATGAAACTTTTCCCTTAAACGTCTACGAAGTTGCGGACAGCTTCTTCACAAACGATTTGTTGATGGATTCGTGGAAAAGACCATTCGTGTCAGTAGTACAAGAATCATGTTTCACAAAATTTTACCCTGACTAACAACATTATGGACTAGATCTCTAGGATGAATCAAATCATTTCACTGACCTTGCCTATCTGGATATTTTATAAATCCTTGGTGATTTTTAATTGGCAATCTATACTATTATAATAAAACGTAAACATACAATTTTTTGTTGCCTTAGAAGTCAGCAATTACAGCATATTTTTGAATAATTCTTTTTTTTTTTTTTTTAATAAAAAGCCCTACACTTGCGTCACGTTTTAGGCTATATATTTTCACGCCTTTAAACTTAGGGCGTAAACATTTTGGATAAAAACTCTAATGTGGGAAAGAGACCATAAGTTGCTGCCAACATCAAAACGCAAGGTTGTCACGGTTTGTCATATGTCATGTCATTTTGACATTTGTAATTGATAATTTAACACATGTAAAGAATAAAATAAAATTTTCACAATTTTATGCGGATGAAGTCGCACGGGAACAGCTAGTTTATAATAAGAAAAATTAAGAAACTTGCTTTTAGCATTTATTTTTGTCATTCCTAGAATTTAGTTAGAACATTGTCTACGAACTTAAAATGTTTAAAATTTTATCGCATGAAAATATTATCAGAAATTTTCATCGTTGATCGTCATTGAACCAAAATATGACAACTGTATTTATATAGTTAATTATACCTCTCAATATTAATTCCACTGATGGAATCGTCATGTTCTAATAGTAGATTTTAGTTTGGATATTGTGTGTTGAATAAAAGTTACAAAACATCTGGAAATGTCTTGGAAAGTCTACACCGTGATGCAAAGCCACAGGTCGGGTGAATCTCTGTTTGCCACATATAAATGATCACTGACATTTGCATTAAAGGTGCTTGAAACTGTTCGTGCGACGACCCTAACAGTTTGTAAATATGGGAAATGTAGCAATATAATATGGTCCTTCGAGGTAATACGCAGCAGGGCCTGCATAGATGCACATTAGTTGACAATTGCGTCAATTTGCTCGGCCCGCTACGCTTGCGACATCGGACCCTTGCCGAGTTACGTACAGCTGACAGGATGTTAACTGCACCTATATCTAGAAAAATTTAACAATTACATAGCTTGATTTTTTAAATCTTTTAACATCATATTTTTAAAGGGTTCATTTCATTCGGTAATCATGTGATGAGAAATTATGCTTAGGGTGCAATTACTATATGTTAGTGCCCGCATGAATTTTATAGTCCTTACTACCGTGTATTGTCAACTTAATCTTTGCACGCCGCGATGCTTATTATAATGAAACTGCACCCTTACTTTATGCCTTTACCCAGTGCAGGACAGTTGTAATTTATTGTCATACCAATACTTTTAAGGATAATAGTAGAGATGGTAGAATTGTGAAACCACATGGTTATGTCAATAGATAATTCTAGATTCGTATACAACATTTTTTGTAATGAAATTGATTATATAAGCCTAAAATGCTATCGGTGCTCTGCTCGCGCGTACTAATATCATAAAAAACGAAAAGAGGTCAAAGACATTAATGAAAAATACATACATAATACTATTAGGCGTCATTTTAGGTTCTTAAAAATAGTTGAAGAACAGAAAAGTGTACAAATACAGATGGGAAAACGGATTAGAAACAAAACGAACTCATTTTTGATGTAAGCGTGAGGATTTTGGTTTACTAGATTAACAAAGTAACGTGGAACGAAGCCTGTGTTGTAGTTTTTTCTACAGATATTTTGTGTGTTTATTGAATACAATATCTGCAAACTATAATAGTTCTATTATAAAACTAAATACAACAGTAAAGGAGTTACGAAGATTGTTGCCGACTACTAGAAGTCTCCTGTATTTCATCTCACTTGAAATAGAAGGAGGTTCCAAAAAACCAGAAAAAGACTAACTGAATTCAGTTAGTCTTTTTTTGGCTTATTGATACTGAACAAAACTGAACTGTTAGACCGTTTAGAAATTTAAAGAATAATATCTAGAGTTTGTTAACGGAAAATGTTTCATTTGCAATATTTACCGAAATTTAAATATAAAAAATGAACAATTACTTTTAAAAATATCCACTGCGTTTCAAAATCGTTCATAGATCTATGGTTCTACGGCGATAGAGTGGACATTAGTCGAGTTTTTGCACTCATTATGTTATAAGCCACCGTCCAACCTCTTATATGAGTCATCAAATCGCAACAAAAAGTTTCATAAATGCATATAACGATTTAAATATTATACAAGGAGATAAATTATTTAATCGTTAAAGACGGAAATTATGTTGAAATGACGTAGTTGTAAAGATTTCATTTTAAATAATGTAAAAACATCAATGTTTATTGTGAGACGTAATATTCTATCTTAACTCAACAGTGGTAGAGCCCGCATTAACATCTCCGCACGAATGGGACAGCTCGTCCGGTGCAATACCACGACCACACAGAAGACAGGCGTGAAGTGGGAGCAACTCCGCGTTTCGTCTGATGAGTGTGGTGCCGGAGGCCCAACTTTAGTCCTTTTTCTCATAAGAATAGTATAGAAAGGGTACGTGGATTTGACGGTGGAGGAGACGCATAGGAACAGCAAATATCTTATTTATGTACATCTACTCCTCCGTTGATTAAGGGTAGGCAACGCTTCCACCATTGCGCAGATGTCAATGGGCAACGGTCGCTTCGCCATTTTGGCTTTTTTAGGTGGCCGCTTGCACCTTTGCCACCCTATAATATAAAAAAAAATTGCATCGTGAAAATCTAACTTTTAATTATTATTTTGTATCTATGAGGAGTAGCCTAAAACCAAATCACGTTTTACCAGGGTTAGGGGTTAAAAGTTGCTAAAAACATATAACAAATATAAGACCCCTTAACAGTGGTTTATTGCTTATCAGACACCACACTTTCATTACAATACGCCATAAAACAATACACATTTGACAAGAACACAATGGTCGACCTTGGAATACAGTCATATGCGCAATGAAATCTCTGTTCACGCCGAAATGTATTACCGTCTCTATTATTTTAAAGAGAAAGACAGAGAGATTAAATTCTAACTCGTATTGTATAAAATTGCATCGTAGTAACTGAATAACATAATCTTCAAGGTAACATTGGATATCGCAACAGTAACAGTCACTTGTAGAGAAATGGACCCTAGTTTTTGTGCGCGATGCTTGTTTTCGTACCATTCACTTATTGCGAACGAACGAACAGCGAACAGCAAGATGTATCGGTGTGAGGGAAGCACAAGCAAAGAAATTCTTCAATTAAACTAAATTCTAACAATAATTAACTACTTAATTTTAATAATAATTTCATAAATTAAAAGAATCGAATAAAGTTAGAAACAAAAACGTTACATCTTGTAAGTTGAATTAATACAATATGAAATTGTCAAATACCTTTTATACAAGCATTCGTCGAATGGCTGTTCGGCCGTTCGTTGTATGCACGCGGGACTTTTATGACTATGTAGACACACTTTACACAGCGTTGATAAAAAGTGTATGTCATAGCGATTTGTATTGTATTCCATACTACTGGAGAAATTTCATAACGTGAACGAAGAACTTTGTCACGTATAACGATGAATTCGGTATCGGTTTTTTAATTTTTTGTTGTATTAATGAAAGATCCAACTCTATAATTACAGAAAAAAATCACGTATAAGTGAAACATAAATGTGATCTGATATTTCTTATTGAAATTGTGCTTTATAGTCTTAGTACATAATCATGAAAATTTCTCTAACCTCTAAGTTAAGGAACGCCTATAATAATTAAATAGCAAACTTGAGCCAATGTTATATTAGAATGATCTTTTTTTTGTATTTTTGTTAATGCAATTTACTAAAAAACAACGTAGAAATTATTTAATTCTATCTAGATTCTAGATTACTCTTAGAATTTAAATAAAATCTTAAGTTATTTTTTTCAAGCACTCTATAATTTATGACATTTTTTTAACAAATCATATGTTTATTTCAGACATACTCATTTTACAAAAATCAAACATAAAAATAACAATTAAATTCTATTCCCTTTTTTCATTTTACACATACGTTTAATCAAAACTTTTACTAATTAACAATTTACATTTCCCTGAATAATTTATTTATCTTTTGCTATTTTCTTTGTGAAGTAACTTCTAATATAAAAGTTCATGAACAGTATAAAAAATATAGCAATACTGCCGACCCCGTACCAATGCCGTAGATCCGAGGAAGAGCACGGCGACGTTTTATTCTGATATACAAGGTAACAGATGATCAGAAGAAATTGTGTCTGAAACAATATTAAATGTACAATAATAATTAAATCCAAAGTATAAAAAGATCCAAAACCTATAATGGCTCGAAGTAAGCTGCGAGAGTATGTACACAAGTTTACTGATCCTTTGCTTCTTACAAACGCATAATACAGTGTTCTTGCAGCATGTGAAACATCGAGCCATCATTGAGTTTGCATAGTAATGTAACAAATTTAAATAACGATGAATACATTATTAATATGTATACGAGTACAAAGCGTTATAACAAACAGACAAACAGGTAAATATTTGATTATTTACATTTGAGAGGCGTTTTCTTTCGACGATTCTTGTTAAAGTGAAAAAAGTGTATAGCTTACCAATTGTAGGGTCGTAAGATATTTTTTCCACCAAATGTACTTAGCGTACTCCGGTCCTAGGCATGCCAATGCGTAATATGTGTACATTATCACATGAACGAAGCAATTTATCATTGCAACGAACAGATAAATGTCTGTAGGAAAATATATGTAGTAAATCCAGCCCCAAGTCGCCATCACGAAATGATGGTACACGTGAAGGAAGGTCACTTGATTGAATTTCTTGCGAAGAACGAAGAATATCGTATCTAATAAATCTAAATGCTTCGCTATGAAGTACCACATGATAGGTTCCAATATCTGAAAAGTGTTTATTATAATTTTAATTTCCTCAATTCATTTAAAACACAGAAAAAATCCTTTATCCCTGGGAAAAAATAACTAAAAAACCAAATTTCTAAAAAGAGATTCACTTAACAAAGGTAGAGATACACAGAACACACGTGAATTGTAAGTAATTCCGGGTCGGATATCTAAGACTTAGAGGCTAATTACATTTTTCTTCCCGTTCCCAATAATTTGTAACAAGGAAAGTATGATAAAGAAGGCATTTGGCAGAGAAAAGTCAGTAAAAGGTAGTAATTCCTTTTTTATGTCCGCTTCTCTGTACAATACTTACTGATTTCATCATCGGCATATTTGCCTCATACCAACATTTGCTCGGGAATAGGCCGTATTGTAACGTATGAGCGACAAACTGTAAAGGAAATGTTAGGTTACGATTAAAAAAAAACTGAGTTATTGAACTAACCGAAATATTAAAATACGAAGGGTGGATAAGGTCAGACGGTTTATCTTACTCTTACTAATATTATAAATGCGAAAGTTTAGATGGATGGATGGATGGATGGATGGATGTTTGTTAGCGTTTGTAGCCTAAACAGCTGAACGGATCTCCAAGAAATTTGGCACAGGTTTAGAGCATAGTCTGGAAGAACACATAGACTACTTTTTATCCCAGGACTAGTTACGGTTCCCGTAGGATTCATTGATTTAGTTTTTTTAATATTTATTCGATCATTCTGCAACGGTTCAACATATCTTAATGAAATTTGGCACAGATATAAAGCAAAGTCTGGAGTACACATGGGATAAGGTTCATCCCCGAGAAATGTCCGGTTCCCGAGGGATATGTAGCTTTTTGTTATATAGTTCGTATGTTTTCTAATACCACGCGGACGAAGTAGCGGTCAACAGCTAGTTTTCCATATTGCACAATCGAAACGAATGTAGAGTAAACTCTATGTTTCTTTTTAACTTCGTTATAGGAAGCGATACTATTCGGTAATATCCCTTTTCGCTTTCGCAGCAATGTGTTATAAGCCTTAAACACTTTTTAAGAAATTTTTTTGCAGTTATTTTCGTAAAATTAAACATGTAAATACTTACCAAGTAGAAATTGTATGCGGATAGTAAAACTTGAACAACATTGTATAAGAAAATAATTGACTTCAAATTGTACGGTTTTCTATTTTTCATGTAACTCGGCAAGAATTTGATTACGATTAATAAATAAAGTACAGAGATAGAACCAGCGGCCGTCAGAGTTTGCGCCAAGGTCCATGTTGCGTAAATATCTACAAAAAATAAAAACAAAAAAAAAGTATAATTTTTAGTAACGGGTAATAAAGTATTAAATACAGCTTTTGCCCTCGACATCAGCTGTGGTAATTACAAATAAAGGTAACTTATTAAGTAGCCTATGCGGTCTTCTAGATTATCCTCCACATCTGTGGCAAATTTCATCTATCGTTCAGAAAAAACCTTTTAAAAAAACCTACCCATTCATTTAAACTTTTAAATTTACAATATTAGCAAAAAGGTGGGAGATTTTAAGGAAGTAAGATTCAAGTAAATAAAATAAAGCATGGGATACTAGAGTATGACATGACATTATTATGTCAAAAGGTATTTTAATTTCTGTAAAAATAAATTAAAACGCATCTTATTGTATTACAATCAGTAATCACACAGAAAAAAATCTCATATTCAGTAATTCTTACCTTCGTATCGAATACCGGTGCCCATATTTAACTATTATAATTAATTTAATTTTATAATTAAAAGATGGCTAATTAAACAAAAGAAAATTTAAATTATGAACTCCCATACGGTGACGTCTTTCACCGAGCGCATCTAACATAAACTGCTTTTAACGCACTTCCCATTTGTATTTTTTTTTACAAATGTGAATATATTTTTAATTATTCTTCCACGGACACTGATTCCTTTTTATGTCTGAATTATTTTCATACTCACAAAGGTTTTTTTTTTTAATAGAATAGCAAGACTTTAACGTTTTTTAAATGTTTTTTTGTTTAATTTGATTATTTAAGTGGAAAATAATAAAACGAAAAAACGTAATCAAACTACATTGATTTAGAGTACATATAAATGTTGATCACATTAAATTAATTTGTTTTTACCATAAACACTGAACGTTAGAGCTTCGCTGGTCAGGGGTAAGCACCCCTGTATTCCGGTGGCCGCTTACTCTTTGTACAATACTGTTTCTGTGCGGCTTCATCCGCATCTAATTATAATAACTTTATTTTACTATTTTCATTTGTCAAATTCTCAATTGCAAATGTCAAAATTACCGGTACCATAATTACCTTGCTTCTTTAATGTTGACAGACTGTAGTGTGTGGTCCCTTTCTCACTTTAAGAGTTTTTTTCCAATTTATTTACCCTCTAAGTTTAATGCTGTGATTGCTGTCACAAAGTAGTGTGTGTTTACGATTTATTATATCAGTATAGTTTATTATTTTACTATTATTCAATTCAATTTATGTAGTGACACTTCATTATCTTCTAAGATCTTTGTTTTTCTATTTTTATCGTCTTCATTACTTCTCTTCTTCCATTATGTTTTCTCTCTTTCTTACTCAATACAGATTGTCTATTACAGGGCTGAAGCTAGCTATAGACCAGTTGTAATTTTCCACACTCTTTGTCAATAGAACTATGGTTCCATGACGTAATGATATAACATTATGCGCCTATTGATGACCTGTAATTATCATAGCTTTTGTTTGCAACTATTCATTAACAACGCAGACGTTTTGATTGAATAGTTTTTAAGGGTAATATCGGTAACTTAATTTTACAATGACTAGTCGTTTCCGTGCGGCTTCAATTGCATGAAAATTTTATTTTATTATTAACATTCCGTAAATTTTTCAACAAAAAATATCAAAAACCCAAAGTTTCAAGGCCCTTGCCTTTAGCTAAGAATTTAAGTGGCCTATTACCTGAGAATTGAAGTTACCATGGCAACCTTTTGCTTATTTACTGAGAATTTGTCGTTTTAATTTTAAATTATTACTTTAATGTGCAAATGAATATAAATTATTTCCTACTTTACTTAAATAAAAAAAAAACTTATTTAAACTTTGTATTTTATCTTCAAATATTTTAATACCAAACTAGCAGTTCTAGTGCGGCTTCATCCGCATGAAATGTCAAAATTCAAATGCACAAATGACAATTGCTTCCTTGATGTTGGCAGCAACTTATGGTCTCTTTCCCACATTAGGGTTTTTATCCAAAATTCCCTAAGTTTAATGGCGTGAAAATATATAGCCTAAAGCGTGACGTAAGTGGAAAGCTTTTTGTTAAAAAAGGAATTATTCAAAAATCTGCTGCAATTGCTGAGATCTTAGGCAAGAAAGAAGTGTGTGTTTACGCTTTATTATAATAGTATAGAGTATAGATAGATATAAATAGTGGTAGTTTGACAGTGGTAGAGCCCGCTTTAACATCTTCGCACGAATGGGTCGGCTCGCCCGGTGTAATACCACGACCACACAGAAAACGGGCGTGAAGTGGAAGCAATTCCGCGTTTCGTCTGATGAGTATGGTGCCGGAGGCCTAATTTTAGTCCCTTTCTCTTTCCCCCCTCTTCTTAAGAGGAAAGGATGGCAGGGAAAAGTGGATTTGACGGTGGAGGAGACGCATAGGAAGGGGAAATATCCTCTTTATGTGCGTCTTCTCCTCCGTCAATGAAGGGTAGGCAATGCATCTGCAATTGCGGATGTTTATGGTCAGCGGTCGCTTTCCATTTTGGTGGATTTAGGTGGTCGCTTCCTCGTTTGCCACCTTTTTTTAAAAAAAAAAAATAGATGTAAATGAACGATGAATTGAAAGAACTGATGAGCATTTGTTAAACAGAACTGAAAAGGGATACGTTAAATTAATGGTTGTTAAGTTATTACTAAGGAGTGGAGTAAATTTAATTCAAATAACAGTTTAATTAACAAATAAAGATATAATGCAGGGTTTAATTTAGGTCTTGTATAATTAATTTGATTTGTAATAAATTGAAAATCGAACACAAAATTAACATACAAAAGTGATAGCATTGCTTCATCCGATTACCACTTTCGTTTAGTATAAATACAATTACTCTCTCCTATTTAATTTAGACTGGATTAGGATCTCATGAATGTATAAAAAAATTTGTAGAATTTTTATAATGAATACTATGTTTTCTTGATTTTTCAAAAATATATAATGGATTTAAGTTATAAACCAATCATAGAAAATACAAAGGAAGCGATTGATTGTAAGTAATTGCTGATTTTATTAACGTTTCACGTTGTTTTGTTTTACGTAATGAATATAAATTAGCGACACATAAAATGCGTTTAAATAAAAAAAATATTTTTATATTACGTAATTAAATAAAACCTGAAGTCACGATGATTACATTAATGCAATTTTGTTACTAGTAATAAATTTTATTACGAAAATGTTCGTAACGATTCTTCAATACTTTTTTCATATAAAATGATTTTTTTTTAATTATGTCATAAGGTACATTTTGAAGTTAATCTAGTTTACTTTACTTAGTTACAGAAAGCGTAATTTATTGTAAATATGAATGATCCCTTCGATATATAGACAAGAAATTAACTCTATCAGCGAAACCATTATAAAAACCTGAAATTTCACGTCAACAATTCTTAAGAGTTAAAAAAAATTTCGAATTCCAGACTCCCTACAAATATGGACACTTCCAGAAACTATAGTATATTTAGTTTTTGTGATCGGCGCATATCTGGCCCTGGTTTTAAAGATATTACCTGCCTACATGAAGAACAGGCGACCGTACACGTTGAAAGGATTATTGATTTTTTATAATGCATTCCAAGTGTTTTATTCAGCGTATCTTGTTTTTATAGTAAGTTTCTATTTATTTATGAATCTGGTATAGAATATACATCAAGTAAAGTTAAGAAAACCACAAAAAAAAAACAACTGTAAAAGTAACATTGTAATACTAATCCTCCAAAAATTATAAACTCGACAGTTTAGATGGATGGATATTTTTTAGAGTTTGTCACCTAAACGGCCGAATGGATTTTGGAAGACCACAGACGCTACTGAATTACTTTTGTTTCTTTATTATTCCTCGCAGACGATATCGCGGGAAAAAACTAGTATTAACCGTTTTACTAAGCTGAAATTTAATCTAATAGTTCAAGGCAGATTCATTGGCAGATTTGAACCCCTTTAGCATTGCTTTGTCTGTACTTTTAGGTAATGAGTAAGTAAGCATTTAAAGGTCGTTGTTTGAGCAATAAAGTATTTGCATAAATACTAAGGACTTTATATTCCGAGTTCATGTAAGTGTGAAGTATTTTACGACGCACATTAATTGTTACTTGTTACTATCATTAGGTTGCAAAGTAACTGTTTCTTATCGTTAAGTTAAAAATGACAATTTTAAATTATTGATTATGGTATACTTTAAGTAAATCCACACAACTTTATCTTAAATGACGTTTTGTTGTCGTTAGGTATAGGTTATATAGATTTAGATACTGGTCGCTAAATTGATTAAAACTTTTTTATTAAATACATAAACTCTATGTACTTTAATATTCCAGTATACAAGTTACATATTGAAACACGGCATTATCTGCACATCATGTCCACAAGGAGAATTCTTAAAACAGGTTTGTAATAAAGATAAAATCATTTCAATACGTTTTGACATTTTTCTTAATCGTAAAATTATTTCTAGGTGACTCGAGATATATTCCCGTACTTCCTGGCGAAACAAATTGATCTGTTGGATACAGTATTTTTCGTGCTAAGGAAAAAGGATAATCAAGTGACATTTCTTCATGTGTACCATCATTGTATTATGGTGACATGGGCAACGTTGTACTATCTGCATAAACCGTCTGACCACTTCGTAGGCGTTGGCTTCATGAACAGTTTTGTGCATGTAATAATGTACGCATATTACGGACTATCAGCAATGGGACCTCAGTTCGCTAAATTTGTTTGGTGGAAAAAGCATTTGACGAAAATACAACTGGTAATTGAATAAATCTTTTCTAGTTCATTCGATGTTAACAGGGAATTTACCTGTGCAATGAAAAATGCTGTAATTAATTTAACAGTGGTAGAGCCCGCTTTAATCTTCGCACGAATGGGCCGGCTCCCTCGATGTAATACCACGACCACGCAGAAGACAGGCGTGAAGCGGGAGCAATTTCGCGTTTCGTCTGATGAGTGTGTTGCTGGCGGCCTAATATTATTCCCTTTCCTTCCCACCAACTTTTCAAGAGGAAAAGATTGGAAGCAAAAGTGTATCTGATGGCGGAGGAGACGTATAAGAAAGGGAAATATCCTGTTTAAATGCTTCTCCTCTGTCGATTAAGTGTAGTCAACGCTTCTGCGATTGAGGATGTCTTTAGGTAGCGGTCGCTTTGCCATTTCGGCGATTAAAGGTGCCCGCTTGCTAGTTTGCCACTTTTATAAAAAATATTAAAAAACGTTTATTTACAGATCCAATTCATCCTGGTGATCTCAAACTTGCACTATCAGCAGAAGTTGACGCCGTGCCCGATCCCATCTGTCTTCCATTACTTCTGCGTCATCAGCATAACCTCATTCTTTGTCCTATTTATGAAGTTTTACCTTAAAAGTTACATCAAACGATCAAATGAAATAAATACCCAATGCACCAATAATAAAAACTTTATATGTAGCGATTGTTTAAAAATAAAATAATTAAAAATGCAAATCTGGAGTTTTATTTTCACTATAAATTCATTAGTTATTAAACAAAGTTAGTTGTGTTCCTAGCAGTATTACTTGCAGAGGCAAATAAAAGACGTTGATTTATGATCTAAGCAAATAGACCGTTACCAATGCATGAGAGGCAATATTTGCTTACGGCAAATTTGTCTTTCGGAAAACCGAGAGAATAACCATAAATGAACGATTAATTACATTTTAAAATTAGAGTCTTATTTAAAAAAAACGAAAGTTAGTCTATGTGTTGTTCCAGACTATCCTCTACATCTATGTCACATTTCATCGCGATCCGTTCAGCAGCTTAGGCTACAAACTAACAAACATCCATTTATCCATCCATATAAACTAACATTAGTAAGAAAGATTATACAATATACTTATCTAGCTTTAGTTTTTAGAGTCGCGAGCAATAATCTTTCTTACTATTCCTAATAGGTGTTTCCAAATTGTATTGCCCGATTTCGGAATTACGCGAAGTATAATAGATCACAGACCAGTCCCTTGTGTTTGGTCACTCTGTTCAGTGTTTGTACATCTACAATTTGCTTTGGCGAAGACGCTTCCTACTAATTTAGCTGTCTTAAAATAATACATTTTATTACCTTAGTATTGATATTTTTATAAATATTTGCCTAAATCTTATTACCGTTTTAATATAAAAGTAATTAAGACATTAAGTAACACCAATTGAAATGTTTAATTATATATTTATTACAGGTCGTGTACTGACTTTAAATTCATTGACATTACGTAATTATATCGTGACGTGCTCGCAGGAGGCGATGTCTGTTTGTATTTACATAAAGCAAATATTTTAACCAATTATAGGAATACTAAGTATAAACCTTTGACTAGAAATAAAACATAGTTTCAATGCCGGCAAATTATTGAAGACTACCTTTCGCCCACGACTCCGTCCGTGTGGTATTAAAAAAAAAACAAGAAATGTGTTGTTCGAGATAATCCTTTACATGTATGCTAAATTTCATTGAGAACCGTTCGGCAGTCTAGGCTACAAACTCTAACAAACATCCTTCCATCCATCTAAACTTTCACATTTATAATATTAGTATGATTGTCAGCATTTTCTGGGATAAATATTAAAAAAAAATGTTTCTCATACATATATCATTGGAATGGAACAGTAACTTGCATGCCAGTTAACCAGAACCTACGTGACAAAATCAAGTTTCGTAGCCCTTCTCGAACCCAACTTCTACTTCCATGACTGTAGCATTTAGCTGTTTCAAAACCATCTGTAGTATATAGTCTACACATGCCTGTAGTTGGCACGTTCAAATAGCTCGCAAGCCAGTTACTAGCATGCTGTCTGTACTGTTATACTTAGTTTTTAAGTATATACTGTCACCAAAACTTAGTAGTATACTATTAGAAATCCAATTTCAATAAGATATTATATTATGAGATTAAAAAAAAACAGTAAACTATTGACCGCTTCCTTTTATTTTTATAGTAAAGTTTTTATCTGAACAAAAAAAATACTAATTACTCTACTCCGACTTTATACGCGCAGAAATAAAAAAAAACTATAAAAAAGAATTTTTAAAATCAGCTCAGCAGTTTTACGTGAATCCAATACATACAAAGAGACAAAATACGTTGAATATTTTTACTTTTAAAATGCTAAAACAAAATTACAATTTCTAATCCTCATATAGGAGAAGTCGTCAGAACTGTTCGATATAATCTTTACTAATATAAGAAAGCGTAAACACACTCTGTTTTGTAGGATCTCTGTTATCAGCGATCACTGCTTTTGAATCATAATTAAAAAAACCCTACAATTATGACAGAGTATTTGTTAAACGCTATTTAATGTAGAGGGTGAATAAATTGGAAAAAATGTCATGCGGGAAATGAACAAAAACTACAAACAGCAACAAAGAAGCATGGTAGAGCCCGCTTTAACATCTTCGCACGAATGGGTCGGCTCGCCCGGTGTAATACCACGACCACACAGAAAACAGGCGTGGAGTGGAAGCAATACCGTGTTTCGTCTGATGAGTGTGGTGCCGGAGGCCTAATTTCAGTCCCTTTTCCTTTCCACCCTTTGCTTAAGAGGAAAGAACGGAAAGGAAAGTGGATTTGACGGTGGAGGAGACGCATAGGAAGGGGAAATGCCCTCTTCATGTGCGTCTCCTCCTCCGTCAATTAAGGGTAGGCAACGCATCTGCAATTGCGGATGTTTATGGGCAGCGGTCGCTTATTATAAAAAAAGAAAATGATAGCCATCGTAACTGTAATTTTATCTAATGGCAAAGGTCTTCGTTTTGTGCATTTGAATTGGGACATTTGTAATTTAAAGTTTTACAAATGTAATTACTGCTTAGAGTTTTCATAATTTCATGCTGGTAAAGTCGCACGGCAATATGTAATAAAAATAAACAGATACGCATGCGTCTTTTGCGTCAAAACTTCAAGGGTGTAGAAATAAATAAAACATTTATCGATTTGTATTGCCTTTGTTATAAAAGGCGATTTATTTTTTAATTGCTCAGTTTACAAATTTATGTGAAGGGAGTTAGAAAAAGAATTCAATTTGAAAGAAGTGCTTAGTTGTTATCAAAATGGAGGAAGTATTGGAGGAAAATTATCTTCAATATGTTAAAAGTAAGTTTGTTTCTGTTTTTTTATTATTTAGGAGGTTTATTAGCATTAATTAAACGTATTTTTCTTTTTTAAGTACCAAACAATTGGTCAGCATTTCGGGCCCTCTGCGCGGCAGGATTGGTTGTAGCGATATATCTTTTGTCCGTCGTGCAATGGCTTCCCGTCTTCATGATGAAAAGGAAACCGTTTCAATTGAAGTCTCTTTTGTTATTTTATAATGCCTTCCAAGTAGTCTTTTCCGGATATATGGTGTACATTGTAAGTAGTCCTACATTGTTATATGTTTTTTTTTGTCCTTTAAGAGAACGGAGGAAACGAGTTGCAGGGAAACCGAGGTGATCTACGCCAATGGATATTTGAGATAGTGAAGGAATATGATGTAGTTAGTTTAGATAGATGAATGTTTGTTAGAGTTTGTAGCCTAAACTGCTAAACATATCTAGATTAAATTTGGCACATTAGTGGATTCTTATTGATTTATAATCAATCACATACGAATTTATCTAAGTCCAGAAAAGAGTATGATACAAGAAATTTATTTGTATTTTCAGTATATTGATTATGTTTGGGATTTCGGCATATTTCCATTCAGATGCCCACAAAATAATCCAGAAATGATGACCACGGTAAGCACATTTTATTAACTTTATGACAGTACAAATAGATTCGGACTATTTTAATTCTTTATTTTTCATCTTTAATATATATGATTCCAAAATGATTCTAAATATCGAAATAGTAATCGAAAAACACAATCTTTTGCTTATAGTGGCGAATTATTTTTATCTACGTTTCACGCAAAGTAATCAAAATAAATTTTGAGAACATTGACTATTTCTCATCAATCTGGTTTTGTTTTACAGAGGATCGGCACATTATGTGCTACTCTTTCATACATCTCTATCAGCAGTCATATCTATAATTTCTTTTTAAGTATATCCTCTTTCACACAATCTATCCACACTTTATTGGTCTTCCTCTATCTCTGTAGTCATCATCATCTAATATTCCTGTTGTAAGTAATCAAGCATGTTTTCTTTTTCAGGTAAGAAACAATATTTACCCCTATTTTGTTGCGAAGCATTTGGACTTACTTGACACGGTGTTCTTCAGGCTCCGCAAGAAAGACAATCAGGTGTCTTTCCTTCATTTATATCACCACAGCATCATGGTGGTGTGGGGTTGGCTGTACTACAAGTTCCTACCGACTGACCATTTCGTTATCACCGGTCTGTTGAACAACATCGTTCACGTAATGATGTACGCCTACTACGGAATATCCTGTCTGGGACCTCAATATGCCAGATATGTTTGGTGGAAGAAACATTTGACAAAGATGCAATTGGTGAGCTAATTAATCTTTACAATTAAACTAGCTAGAGCTCGCGACTTCGTCTCCGTGGATTAAAAAAATAATAAAAGATACAGCTTATGTTACTCACAGATAAAATGGACATTGTTCCCAACCGTCACCACTCTCTGTCCCCACGTGAAAATAAAAAGTTTCATCCGTCACATCTTTTAGTCCCACTATCACAAATAAGGTGACAGATGGAACCGTTTTGTAATAAATTAAATAATGTAAGTTCCAACCGTCCCCTCGTCGCAAAAGGTGGAACGGATGAAACTTTTTATTTTCATCTGTTTCCACGTGGGGACAGAGCGTAGTGACGGTTAAGAATAATCCTATAATGGTTGGTAAATATCAAATGGCGAAATTTTTTTTTCAATTGGAGCAGTAGTTTTTGAGTTATTTCAATACATACAAAAATAAAAAAATACAAATCTTTCTTCTTCATAATATTACAAAGATTACTATGTTATGTTTCTATCTAATACTTTGAATAAGGTCAAATTTCTTTTGAATCTACTTCACGAAGATCACAAATTAGTAACTAACATATATTTTTTTATTTATTATTTATTTATTTAATAGTGTGATTCTTGTAATACTGTTACAAGATCAATTTGTAATATGAAATTTCTATTTGAAATCTAATCGAGCATTTGATCGTCGTTTGTTTTCTTAAGTGATCACGAAAGATATATTAACCAAGCGCCTGATATTTCTAAGCATCTTCTTATTAACTGTGTCACTAATTAAATTTTTTAATATTCTCAGGTACAATTCGTATTGGCGGTTACGAATCTCTACTACCAACAGAAGTGGACTCCGTGCCCTTTGCCTCTCGGCTTCCATTACTTCGCATTGGGAACTTTATTCTCATTTTTCTTCCTCTTCCTTAATTTTTACTTCAAAAGTTACAGAACACGTAGAAATCACGAAAAGAAACAACGTGATGCAGACAATAATTTAAAAGTAGCAAATAAGAATGGAATTTTAAAAAGTAATTGATTCGATATCCTGAATGTCTTTAGATAGGAAATAATCTTTCTAGTCTAGAAGAAGCGTCATATTAATACTCGGTCTGTCGAAGCATACACACGACTTTGTGGAAAGGATGTCAGCAATCAAACCATATTTTTGAAGTAACTCTTTTGAAGTAGCCCTATACTTGCGACACGCTATAGGGTATATATTTACTCTATTAAACTTTGAAGATAAATAAATTGAAAAAAAAAAACCTGAAGTCGGAAAGAGACCATAAACTACAAGCTGCTAAAATTTAGGAAGCAAGGTTATTATGGTAACGGTAATTTTGACATTTGCAATTGAGAATTTGAGAAATGTAAACAATAAAATGAAGTTTTTATAATTTTATGCGGATGAAGCCGCACAAGACCAGCTAGTTGTAGTATAAAGTTCTAAGAAAACGTTTGGAAACAAGTTTGTATCCTTCATTTAAGCATATCTTCAGTTAAAAATGTCCCTTTCTCGTCTATTCTAGGCGTCTACTCTTTCCTAAAACATTCATTATACGCAGAAATATCTTTATATTATTCTCTGCGTGAATTGCATTTATTTGTCAAAATAAAAAAAAATGAAATAGTTAAGCAATTATTTTTATTTTAATTAAAACTAATTTATTAAGTGATTTTGTCTTTTACTCGTATTTATATAAATATTTTCAATAAATAAGATCACAGTATAGTCAGTAACCTTACGACAACGCCTGTCACTTTCGCATAGTTAATATTATGTTAAGTGTATTTGAGATGCAAATATTTTGTTACGTTAAATATTGTCTTTCTTTCGTACATTCTACTTTTTCGTATCACCTTTTTATTTTTATGTTTATATCAAATATGATAAAAATGTTATAACTAGATTAGAATGTTCAAATAGCAATAACACATTTTTTTTAATTGAAAATATTACATGAGACAAATTAAAAAATATGCACAAATATGGCCCCGCAAAAGCCATACTCGTATAATTGGTTTGTCCGCGGGTGCACTGGTTACAATTAACAATACAACATATATAGAGTGTCGTAGTGGTGTAGGATAATTTTATGACATGTTTTTTTTTTTGTGTAGAATTACATAAAATACATACATATATAATATACTGTATATGAATAAAATATTCTGTTCAAGGGCTATTATCAAAAAGATGGCTTTCCAAACGTTTAACAGTTTAAATTTTGAATTTAGATTTGCTATTTCAGGTGATATTTTGACATCTGCCATAAGTAGTTGGTTTTTTTTTATGCATTACATTTTCCCGACCTTGGAAAACTTAACTGAATACAATAACTTAATGAATACAACTTGAGTCAATAATAACGAGAACATTTTTTATAAAACTACATATATTTGATTCTGCAATCATGTCTCCAATTAGTTGGATTTCGAGTCAGATATTATTAATATGGAAAAATACACAAAGTCCAATGTCTATTGCGAAAAATGAAAATCAGCATAAATAAAGAGGTCATTGCACTTTCCTTTCCGCTGCGAACATTGTAGTTATTGTTTCATATCCGATCTATTTGGCTGCAACCGCTAGTATGACCACATTTACAATGTGTCTATTTAATTAGACTTATTCATACGTTGTTTATACGTTGTCCAAAAATATCGTATATAAATGCAATTTTTTTTCTTTTCTATCCTTGCTTTTCCGAAAGTTGAGAAAAAAATTGAGATCATAATTTCTAGTAACGATTGATCGTAAGTCCTTCATTCACCAACCAATCGAATTGATTGCACCAAATGCGTCACGGCCTCTGATTGGTGGAGCTCACATAGCGCGCAAATTCCCGCCAATTTTTGATCGCGACGCAGCATTCAAAGTGTTCCCGCCAATATCATCACAGCCTTGTTAGTAAATAGCACGTAAAGGAGGTTTATAAGTATAATTTATTTCAATATCGAGAAAGGCAAAATTTATTTTACTGACATAATTTGTCGCTAATTATTTGTTTTTTAATAAATAACCTCCGACTTTTATTGCATTTTTACAGATCAAGGCAAAAACATTATTTGTTAACATTAAAAACGGTTTTTGTTTTAACATGGTTATAAATAAATATGATATGTTAAATATTCAATATTTTGCGCAATGTCAAGAAATCGCTATTCAAATCGAAGGCAAACATTCTTCAAACGCGTATTAAATTGACGATAAAAAACTGTCATCTTGCAGATCGGTAGTAAAAGAGGTTGCATAAACTGTAGATGTACATCCGGAGATTCTAGACACGGCGGCCTGCGCGGCGCAAGCTCCACTCCATCATAGAACACATTTCAGTTATTGTTAAGATACCACGTTGAACGACCGCGTCCGCAGTCAGAAAGTTTGTCCGACATTTAAACGCGAGTGTTCACTTTAATTAATTATATTATCCTTTGCTTTTTTAAGACATAAGTGTTAAGGGACGATAATCAAAGGTTAGTTAATTTTTTTGATTATTTTTTTAGAAGTATAATTTATAAGAAAGTTATGATTTTTTTCGTTTACGACCCAGTTTTGGAATGAATTGCGCTGATGGTAATATTTGTCCACCTGACATAATGCTTAGGCAAGCTTGGCACAGCCAAGTTATCTTCATGTATTTGGACAATCGCTTATTTAATTATAATTAAGAGTTATCGATTTTATAATCACACCTTTTACGTATGACAATTGATTTGCATTACAAAGATATAGGCTGTTTCTTATTACGATTAATCAGATCAGAATTGTATTTGTATTGTTAATATAATTTATGGTTCAAATATAATCATATAAATATTATAAATGCGAAAGTTTCGATGGATGGACGGATGTTTGTTAGCGTTTGTAGCCTAAAGGGCTGAACGGATTTCGATAAAATTTGGTACAGGTTTAGAGTATAGTCTGTAAGAACACATAGGCTACTTTTTATCCAGGAAATAGTTACGATATCTTATTGAAATTTGACACAGGTATAAAACAAAGTACACATGGGATAAGGTTCATCCCCGAGAAATGTCCGGTTCCCGAGGGATACGTATCTTTTTGTTGTTTATATAGTTCGTATGTTTTCTAATACCACGCGGACGAAGTCGCGGGCAACAGCTAGTACAAAATAATTCTATGCCTTACATTACTGTGTACATAGTTAAGTAGGTCACGATAGGAATTATCTGGGAAAATTAAATCGCAGTCTTGTAGAGTTACTATTTTAATAGTAACTTGTACAAAAGTACAAATCCTTTAATACCCGCTGCACATCATCAGTTTAATTGCACAATTTAATATTCGAACATTACAGTTAATATTGACGAGTATAGACGAATAAATTTAGAAGCAAAAGGTTAGCGTGGTATGGACATTTATGCGACGAGTCGATGGGGACATAAACCAGAAAGTGTTAAGAATAAATGTGGATGGCTACAAAGGACGAGGAAGACCGAAGAAATTATGGATGGATTGTGTGAAAGAAGATATGCTTAAGAAAGGAGTGGATTTAGGTATGACGGCTGATAGAGATGTATGGAAGAGCAGCACATACTGTGCCGACCCTCCGTAAGATAAGGGCAAGTTGATGATGATGACTGACGCGTATAGACAAAATTTTGACTGACAGTTAAACTGCACAGTTTAGAATTTTGCCTACATACGTCATCTGTAGAGATTAACGGTTCAGTTAAAACTGAAGGTGTAGCTGTCTTTACCAATAATTCATTTGAACTAATATAAGCGCTGTTACTCATACCCAGAGTTGAAAAGACACTTGTTTGTCCGCGTGTTCTGCTCTATAAAGCATCAATAACGCAAATTCGGATGTCTGTATGCTCCCTTAACACAGTTTGATTGTTTTTTAATATACTGTTACGTGTACAACGTTCACTTTTAAATGTGTCCCGTGCCTGCAATACGAGTTTGTTATGTTGTTAAATACTTTAAAACGAAGTAAACAATTATAGCCTTGAGAAGACAACATTTATGAAATAACTTATCCGTCTCAAACCTTATATAATAGGAATAAATCTTATTTACTTATCGCTGAAATAGGTAAAGAGATTATTTGTTATGTTTATAATAAAAAAAAATTAAGAATTAGTCATTTAAAAGAAGCTTTGTGAATGCCACAATTAGGTAAATTACGTCATTAAGGACTTTAAAATAAAAAAATCTTAGACAGTGTTTAAAATACATTTTAGACTAAACAGATGTCAACCTTTTTTACAGTCACTAGAATTAAACTAACTCAAAAACTACTGACCGATTTCAAACAATTTTGCACCATTTAAAAGCTGTTATTACGGATTAACATAGGCTATACATTTTTTTTTTTTATTTAATATGAACGAAGTCGGCAGCAACAACTAGTAAATAATAAAGTACTTTTACCGAAAGCATTATCAATCACCAGCGGTATAGTTAAAACACGTGATCAATTAAACAATTTTTTTTCAGTTAGGGCCTGTCGCACCAAATTGTAAACTCTCTGATAACAATCCAACGTGCAAAATGTATTGTTTATCGGATTTTGTTCCCTTATCTGACAGTGACATCATTTTTAAGCTATCTGAGCCTCTATCAGCCAGTGGTAGGACAGGCCCTCTGTCTTTTGTCTAGTAGATCAATAAGTATGCTGTTAGTCAATAAACAGACGAGTTATCTTAGAGGTTACGAAAATGGTCTCTAAGTAATATTGCTAGACAATTAATTCTCAATGTCTTTGTAACACGCGACAAAACATTGATATTCAATTAGCGAATTTAATGCCATAGATATAAAGACTGTTTCGTCTAAAGAAACTTTTAAGAACGAGATCTTGACCTCACTCAATGTGTACTACTTTAATAAACGCGTAATTTTAGCTTCCTTTTGATTTCACGAAACGGGACAAGAGTTGTTCTTCAAGACGACGACCACTTTCACTTGATTGTCTTACTGCTTATTACATGAGTAAAGTTCTTGAGATTTCTAAATATAAAAACATACGTAAAACCGTATTTCCGTTGATTACTGACAAACATTATATTAAAAGGTGAAGTGAAAACCATTTACCTACTAATGAACATCAAATTTAATACAGCTCCCTTTCGCGCGGGCGTTATTTTAACGCTCTCGTTCATGCCAACACATTACTCTCGCACACCTCTTAAATACGTGATATCTTTTTCTCAAATACCATAAAATTAAACGGGAAGTAAATTGAAAATAAAATGGGGAGAAAAATGTTTTATTAAAATAGTTAAATGTGTAAGGGAGGAAATTTTGATGTAAAAATGCATCATTATTCATTTTAGAATTATAAGCGTTGCCGTGTGAACATATACACCTGCATTTATTCTATAACGATTTTTTAACGCTTATAAAAGCGTTATAAAAGCGCTCATGCAAATGAAGTCTTTAAGTCAATGTGTACATAAAGTGTACTAAGCTTTTTTAATGAATATTTAATAAAACCTTTGATTATAAATTACGGTCAATTCGACCAATGGGCGATCATATCCTATTATGTCCAATTTACATGACTCGGAGCTTTTTTTAACTATTTTAGTCACAATAAAACACACAGTTAAAATATTAAATTAACATTTTGTAATGTAATTATTTATTATTGTTATCATTTAATTAATAAAAATATAAGTACATCCGTGTTTACCTTTTCTAATAAGAATTATTAAATTAAATATTCCAATTAACACTTTTTTTTTAACTTAATGAGCAACATGGACCAAGTAATCACTGTTTTTCATAAGTCACAATGTTGTAAACTTTTTACACAGATGGAAAAACATTTTATAAGTAAACAAGTCTTTTTTCCGAGTTCCTTCTACACCGAAAGATCGGTGATGCGTTTTTTTAGTGTTTTTGCAGGACTTAGAAGGGTAATCCATAATTTTTCCGTTCCATCGTGAACCTTCAGAGTTAGTTCGAATACAGCCAGTAAAGAATAATAATCGAATCACATCTTCCTGTTAAAAAAGAGTATCATCCAATTGTCGATTTTAATGCAATATATTCAATTAAATTTAAATACCATTAAATAATCCTTAATTCAAACTCGAATACAAAACAAGATATCAATGCAAAATCTGTTTTGTTTTGATAAATTAAAGAGAAAGTAAAAAAAAACATAAAACAACTGCTAAGGTATTTATGGAACATGATTATATCTATCTTGACCTCGTATGGATGCCCTTAATTTTAAATTATAGCTATTACAGAAACTACACGGTTATCTACAAATAGTAGCCAAAGTCATTTATCGCACATATTAAGTCTGAAGAACATTAATTTAACTCCAATCTTATCGTCTCTTCATTTTGATGATTTATTTAATGGCTATTATACCGATTGATGACAGCATATAAATAAAAATCTTTGTCATAGCGATTTAAATTCTATCTATATTATCTCACTAGCTGTTCCCGTGCGGCTTCATCCGCATGGAATTTTGAAAATTTTATTTTAGTGTTCACAATTGGCACATTATCAATAGCAAATGTCAAAATGACATGACATGACAAACCTTGACAATCTTGCTTCCTTGATGTTGGCAGCGACTTATTGTCTCTTTCCCACATGAAGATCTTTTTCAAATTTATTAACCCCCTAAGTTACATAGCTTGAAAATATATAAGTTAAAGCGTGTCGTAAGTGTAGGGCTTTTATTAACGAAATATTTATTAAAAATATGCTGTGATTGCTGACATCCTACGCCACGAAGTGGTGTGTTTAGGCTTTATTTTATTAGTAAGTATAGAAATGATTTACAGGTTAGCTAACTTGTATCTTATTTTAACCTAAAAATACATTTTATTAGTTATTTTTGTTGCAATTATTTATACGTTGATGAACAAAATATCAACGAAAAAACTTGTCAATCGCGGATATGAAATACTATCTCAGTAAACTGGGACATCGGATTGCGCAGAGAAATATCTGCCTCAGTCAACACGGGCTTCAAAACAACATAATAATGTGGTTTATTTGCATAAAAATTTGGAGTTATAGCTTTACAAACTTTTAATATAAAGCAATTATAAATGTACTGGTCGACAATCATTCGTTACAACATTAAAAACCGCGTCCTATATATTATTCCGAGTCGTCAAAATGAGTACAAAACTTTCAAATGGCTGTAATTATTTAGATGGTGCACCGCCAGAATCTCCGACTTTAAGCAGTAGATTAGAGGACTTCAAGCAGTCATACACGAACCGCAGTTTTCAATTACACAATTGGCGATATTAAAAGTGGCATATATTTTCTATGCACGTGTATTACACTCTTGTGTTATTTTGCTTACTTTTACTACTTACACTATGCAATGCCCAGGTTCAAAGTCTACTGGTGACGTAGTTAGAATTAACGACCGTATCGCTTACGAAATAAAGTCTTATTTGCTAAATATATGTTAATATTTGCAATTCTTGGAGTTGTTAGGTTACAAGCATAGTCAGGAATT